ACATACAGAGTGATTTCAAAGACGAGTTTATAGATGATGAGGTGCCACAACAATTGAATGATACACAAAATGAAGACGATATAAGTCCATCTGTATCTTCAGAGCTCACTGGAATTTCGACCAATTGTGTTTTTCAATGTCGTGTTCGAGGAAAACCAATAGATGGCCAATGCATATGTTTTATGGCATTCATGAATTCGAATTCATTGTCAATCATATGTTTTATGGCATTAACATCGTCAATCTATGTCACAACATTCTTGCTAAAAATGAAAAGCCTCTAAATAGAAGGGGTTATATGAAAAACATAAGCGCCCCGTTATCTGAATCGTGGATGTAGGAAAGACTGGGAGCTCCTACTTTGCCAAAGCATGTGAGAGATAATATCGTTAGTATTCTTCCGAAACCGGTTGTACATAACGATACAGTTAACGAAGAAGAACCTCCAGCAAAGAAAAGGCGGTATTGCACCTTTTGCACTAATAAAAAAAAAGAATGTCTAAGATAAAAATGCAAGAAAACAGTTTGCGGCGAACACAAAACTGATGTTTGTTTTGAATGCCTATCAAACCAAATTAGAGCCTAACGATTGTAGTTCTAACTGATTTTTTTAGTTGATTAGTTAGTAAGAAATGACTTAATTCATTTATAAGAAGAAATAAAAAATTTTTTTTTTGATACTATATTCCTGTAAACAGAAGACTGCTAATTTTGTTAATTTTTCTAGAGATTTTTTTGATTTAAGTTTTCTTTTTAAAATATAAAAAAAATTCCATTAAAAACGTTTTTCATTATTAGTTCATGAAACATACTTCAAAAAAAATAAGTAAGTAAATACAATAAATAGGTATTTCATTAAAAAATATATATTAATATTTTGTGCGCCTCCGAAGCGCATGGTTATCTTTTGTAACAGTCAAAATATGGTTATCTTTCTAGGGTTAATGAAATACCTATTTATTGTATTTACTTACTTATTTTTTTTGAAGTATGTTTCATGAACTAATAATGAAAAACGTTTTTAATGGAATTTTTTTTATTTTTAAAAAGAAAACTTAAATCAAAAAAATCTCTAGAAAAATTAACAAAATTAGCAGTCTTCTGTTTACAGGAATAGTATCAAAAAAAAATTTTTTATTTCTTCTTATAAATGAATTAAGTCATTTCTTACTAACTAATCAACTAAAAAAATCAGTTAGAACTACAATCGTTAGGCTCTAATTTGGTTTGATAGGCATTCAAAACAAACATCAGTTTTGTGTTCGCCGCAAACTGTTTTCTTGCATTTTTATCTTAGACATTCTTTTTTTTTATTAGTGCAAAAGGTGCAATACCGCCTTTTCTTTGCTGGAGGTTCTTCTTCGTTAACTGTATCGTTATGTACAACCGGTTTCGGAAGAATACTAACGATATTATCTCTCACATGCTTTGGCAAAGTAGGAGCTCCCAGTCTTTCCTACATCCACGATTCAGATAACGGGGCGCTTATGTTTTTCATATAACCCCTTCTATTTAGAGGCTTTTCATTTTTAGCAAGAATGTTGTGACAATATATAACATAAGAATTGACGAATTCTATGTTCAGAATGCCATAAAACATACGCATTGGCCATCTATTGGTTTTCCTCGAACACGACATTGAAAAACACAATTGGTCGAAATTCCAGTGAGCTCTGAAGATACAGATGGACTTATATCGTCTTCATTTTGTGTATCATTCAATTGTTGTGGCACCTCATCATCTATAAACTCGTCTTCGAAATCACTCTGTATGTCACCTTCACTCAAATTATCTTCTGTCTCACTGTCACTTCCTTGCTATAGTTCATGCTCCTTCTCTTCCTCTTCAGCGATAAACCTATATATTGCATCATCAGAAAGTGTACTCCGGCTCGTCATAATAAAAGTGAAAAGATTTTGTACTAAAACAAAGAAATAAACAGTTAAAATAAACATTTTATGTAAGTATAAACAAGTTCATACTTTTACTAAAAGTCACACAAAAGATAACCATGCGCCTTTGGAGCGCAACACTTAGTCATAACTGCAAAACTATGGTACTTACCGCGTAAAAACGGCCGTCCCGCGACTCAGTGCACCGACCACTGAGCTAACTTAAAAGGACAGGTAGATACGCGCGCTCATTACAAAGAGACAGCGATGTTAAACCGACGCGGGCGCCTCTGAAGCGTAGGTTATCTTTCTAGGGTTAAGTCAAATTGCGGAGTTTAAGGGCTAGTACACAAAACCGACGAGCTCGCATGAAAAGATTGATGACTGTTAATGAAGCGAAAGAGATATGTAAGAATCGTAGTAATTGGCGTTCCTTAGTCTCTGCCTACCCCCATGAGAGACAGGCGTGAAGTTATGTATGTATGTACACAAAACTGCGATGTGAATTCGCAACGCAGAATATTACGACACGAATTGCTGCGATGCGATTTCATGCGACAAGGCGTCACCCAGGGTGACCGTTCCTTCGACGACTGTCAACCGTAATAAACGTATTTTAAACTGAAAACTAAGTGGTCACACGGATCGTAAAAAAAATGCATTTTTGTTATTGCTTAAGAGATACAGGAAAAAGAAACAAAGAAGATTTTGGAAAGATAAGATTATGATGCGCGATGCGAATCAATTCGCAAGTTCTTGCGATGCGTAGAGGGAGCTCGTACTATGCGCGCCCTTATTCTTATGTTTTGGATGGAAAAATCTTATTTAGGTAGGTAGGTAGCTACTGCTAGACTATTCTGTAACTGCCATTTTAGATCGAAGTGAGATCAATCGCATTCTAGTCCGCCATTGGTCGAAATTATCCTCACAACCAATGAGAAGGCGGACCGCAATCGAGTTCAATATTCACGACATGATTTTATATTCGATCTTCCTACAAAACCACATCTTGTCATACACCTAGGTACTAAGAATACCTAGAATTATTTTTCTTTCTTATAAATCATTTATTCTGGTTCTAAAATCATCAGTCACTTGATCACATTCCATCCATTCTCGTCACATCGCCAAACCAATCGACAATTTAATTTACGACTATACTGCCAATAGTAAGGCACCACAAATAAATCAAAGTTACGAATCTACCGTCCTCCGGCATCAGATCTAACCAGCTAATCCTTCGGCGACAGGACCCGAGCAAAAACAGGCTCTATCTCAAAGCCACTGAGTTACAAATCGCATAGATAACGACGTATTTATAGTGCCATTAGTTTAACTGTCCGATAATAGTTTGAAGGGCTTTAAAGGATATGTTTTTGCATGAAAAACGAACGGTAAAAAGGATAAGGCGATAATGCGTGTCTTCTTAAAACTGTCGTAAGGCGATAAAACGGGATTAGGTGAAGTGTGATTGGTTCGGCGAATTTGATTTTGTATTAAGTACCTACGCACTATTTTTAATAGAACCTTCGTTGCTACGCTGTAACATTATTTCTTGTTGATCTTATTTCGTATTTTTAAACAAGTTTGACTTGAGCAAAAACCTTCCTTTCATCATCATCATCATCATCATCATCAAATCAGCCACAGGACGTCCACTGATGAACATAGGCCTCTCCCGATGACTTCCATCCAGCGGCTCCCTTCGACCTTAATCAGGTCGTCTGTCCACCTTGCGGATGGACGTCCTACGCTGCGCTTGCCGGTACATGGCCTCCACTCGAGAACCTTTCTGCCCTTCCTTTAAAACCTTCCTTTACGTAGTGCGAAACAATCGTTTTATTTTACCATCAACAAAATGTAATGTTCTTAATATTTAGGTAGGTACTAGGTACTATTTAAAGAAGTCCAGTTGCCAGGTACCCGCATACTACTGGCTTACATACCTTTCTTTTTTTGGTGTAGGTATTTAAACTGTCAAACACCAAGCGGTCACCGGTGACCGCAACCTATTGTTCTTTAATTGTGTCTATAAATACGGTACTCGACGAGTTAAGTAAGCTATAAATACTTAAAGCAATGAATCTATCCTATTAAAAATTCAGTCATCGAAATCAGGGCTGCCCAAACTATATACCTACCAACAAAAGCTGGAGGGCCAGAAAAATATTTTCAGTTGTATAATGACGTTTAACATTGTATTCTTTACTCACTGATAAAACTTATATGTATACAAATCATACACTGAATTTTATTATTGTTGTTGCACATAAGATGAAGATGTTGAGGTTAAAATATTGTTTATTTAGATTTAGTTTTTTTTTTAGTTTATAGATTTAGTTTATTTAGAATAGTTATTTATTTAGATCAGGGCTATAGCCCTGATCTAAATAAATAAAAGACACAGCTACCTACCTATATGCAAAATTTAAAAAAGGATCATGCTAATCGGTCTTGTCAATGTACACACGTACAATGTATAAAAGATACCAGCCGAATAGAGAACCTCCTCCTTTTTGGGAAGTCGGTTAACTCGTCGAGTACCGGTTTTATAGACACAATTAAAGAACAATAGGTCGCGGTCACCGGTGACCGCTTGGTGTTTGACAGTTTAAAACGCGTCCCCACTCCCGCAAAAGGCTGTTACACCAAGGTCAATAATTATACTCACTAACTCATTGTCCAAACCACTGCTGAATCACGACTTCATTTTTCTTCTTTACTTTTCTATCAATTGATTGTTCTGTCTGTTCGTAGGGTAACACTAAAGTAGAAGTAATACTAAAGTTCGTACCTGCAGTAGACGTACCTAAAGAAGCGACGTTGTTACAGTATCGAGAATCCGAAACATCTTCGTTAGATCACGTCGTCAGGACCGCTTGTGCGCGCGGGTGTGTATGAAAGGGATGCGATAGTAGAAACGAAGCGTAGGCTCAAGCAGTCTTATAGTTATATTCATAATCATTTATTTGTTAATATAGGTTAAGAATTACGGGTCATAATACGTTTGGTAACAGAGCGCTATGTCATGCCAGGGGGTACAAACAATACAGTTAAAATTTTGTTTTTAACGTAAATTAACCGAGCTCTGTAGCTTTGTGTAATAAAACGAGATATACATTTAAATGATTTATTGATAGACAACAATTTCCAAACAATAAATATTCGAATAATCTACATAGAGTTACATTTTACACAAAAAAGTGCACTTTTCAGATGATATTACTAGACACTTTCTTTTTGGTTTCAATTATCGAAATATATTAAATGCCATCGAGGAATGCGTATAATAATAAATATATAAAATAAATAATATATAATTGTGCTTCCAAGGTCACTTTCCACTTATATCTAAAATACAGATAAATAAAAACAACTTTGTTCCTGCAAAATTATTGAGGGCAGATGTAGAAAATACAAATTTTGTGGGTATTTTTACATGTAAAATGATAATAACGCTATATTTGAATTTTATTGAGAAATTCTATACATAAATATCTATATTTGAGTACTATACTAAGCACCATGTAGAATAAAATACATTTTATTACTCGGCAAAAATACCCACAAAATTATACCTACTTGATATAATAGTAAAAAAATAAACAAATATTTTAGAAAAACTGTACTTTTATTAATTTTACATACAATAGAGGTTATATATTTATTTATTATGTTTTCAAAATATCTAAGAAACATTAATATAAATGCAATAATAAATACTGTTAAGAAGACAAAAGTTATTATCAAAGTTGTATTATTTATTGTTTACAACAGTTCAGTACATTATTTTGAGACAACAAACTAGTATAGAAACCTTCACAGACAGTTTAATACTTTAGAACACAAATACTTTACAGGTTTTATTTTCTTTTGTGGGAATTTGCTTGTCTATGTCAAATTGAAAAGGCCGTTTTGATTCTATTGGGCCGTCTTTAGCACTATCAGGCCGCATTAAGCTCTATCGGGCCGCATTAGGCCCTATCAAGCTGCATTATGTACTATTTTGCAGTTTTGCAACTGGTGTTTTATGCATAGCTGTGCTATTGTGTTGATGACTATCAGGCCGTAATAAGCTCGGTGTGGCCGGTCTATACTCTGGTCATATTAGGCCTTACTAAAATATGTTGTGTACTGTCAGGCCCTATTATGCACCAACAGGCCGTATTCTATGAACTGTCAGGCCGCATTATTAATTCTTATGCTTCTCATTCTTGCAATAACTTTGGTCTAATTCACTGTCTCAGCTTACCCATTACCTTACCCTAAAAATTACTTAGAAAATAATGAAATTGCACTTATTGCGTGAAATATGCATCTAAAACTAAGAACACATATTTGTTCGTCGACTTAAGGAAATATTAATTAAGTTATTTATTAAGCGTCTTTGTTGATGATGTCTGTTCTGAAAAAGAAGATAGAGGAATTAGTATTTTGTAGTAAGTACAAACTGCACAAAGGAACTACTTATCATTGAATTTTCGCTGGTTTAATAGGAATGGACCTAAATCAATGACACTATTTTCAATGATCAAACTTCATTCAGAATATTTTTAAACTTGATAAATCCAATAAATAACACGTTTTCTTCCACGGAGATGCGACCCAAAAACCCTTACAAACATTAAACTAATCAGCAGCTGTAGCCAAATGCTATTTAGTGCTTGTTGACTTGTAGAATAGAAAACTCAAATTATATGGAATTGACGTAAATTATGACACTTGTCACTGTCATCTCCATACATTTTGATTTCTACTCTCTCTGTAGACAAGCGCTAAAGTGGCGACTGGAAATTTCGACAGCATCACTACAGAAATCAGCTGCTATTGCCAGAATACTGAAAGGCTCCTCAATTTTGAATTGTACTAACATATCGTGCCATCTCTATCATTTTGCAAAGAGTTTGTAGTGACAGAACTATACTTAAGAGCGACTTAAAATTGAGCGTTTCAGTATTTCAGCGTAAGCCATAAAGTTTATCAAGAAACTATCTACTATATTGTGAAACATTAGGGTTACAAATCTATTAAACAAATTCACGACTTAGCAACAGAAACAGAGCTTGGAACTGATGGATCAGATAGATATTTAAGTATCAAGTGTTTATAACATAAATTCCACTAACCTTCACTGCGCCTTCTCATCCTTGATCTCGCGGACTTCAACCTTAGGGTTGTTCTTCCAGATGTAGTAAGAGAGGGAGCTGGCATAGCCCAGCCATGCCAGGTACGGCAGCATCAGGAAACCAGCCTTGTGGCTGATAGGGAAGAAGGACAGGGTCGTTGCTAGGGCAGCTCCTGACAGTACTGTGATCTCGATGAAGGCCTGTGGATAGGACAGATGTTGTCAGTTTTGGATATCAAGCTTCTTAAATAACACTTTGGAACAAGCAAATAGCTTTATTATGTTAACTATGGGACTGGCAGACTTACTGAGTAATAGAAACGTTTTTTTTTAATTTGAACATCTTGAACAGTTGTATCTGTATGTTTGTTTGTCTTTAATTAATATAGATATTTGCTTATTACAATAACTTTACTTTAAAACATAACAAGATAAGGATTTCGTAACTTATCAACCAAACCAAATTTGGATTACAAAATTACCATTTAAGTACTCAACCGAGGTATCGAACCCCAGTATTAGTTTCGCAGTAGGACATCCGACAACCAAACAAACAAGGCAATCTGGACTAAGTATTAATAAAATCATCATCATCAGAATATACGTACCAGTTTGAAGTCCTTCAATCCGAAGAAGATTGGGGTCCACGCCCAGTTGAGGAGCAGCTGACCTCCATACAGCGTCAGGGGCAACACTGCTTCATCTGTAAACACATTAAAGCACATTAATATATGATGCCGTCTCTTTCTAATTGTTTTGAAGAGGAATTGTGTGATAGGGATTTTTTTTAGACGGACATTAAAATAAAAATTAGGAAACTATTCCTAATTTCCGTCCGGTAGACCTAACTAGGAATTAACTACTTTCGACGATATATCTATTGATTTGAAATATCGTACGACGTCAAATTTTTTACTGAGAGGCTACTCAATTTTAGCTGTAGGTACTTAATTATCGTACCGTCGTTCTTCTTCTTCTTTCATTTTACAACGAATTTGTAATGACAGAACTATACTTAGTGTTACTTAAAATTGAATAGCCTTTGAGTAATTCGACATAATATTTTTCATTTCTCAATTGACGGACTAAATAGATTTTATAATTTATAATTTTCATCCTGTCTAATACCTTTTTCATAGGGTATTTACCAGGTATGTTATGGATATGAAATTTCGGATACGGATTGGATACGGATATAGAAATGATTATTATACTGGATACGGTTACGGATACGGATATGAAATTATTTCGGATTATCCGTTAGTCTATACTAATATTATAAAGAGGAAAGATTTGTATTTTTGTATGTTTGTAATTAATAAACTCAAAAACTACTGAACCGATTGCAATAATTTTTTCACCATTCGAAAGCTGCATTATTCAGAAGTAACATAGGCTATATAATATCACGCTAGGTCCTATAGTTGTGGAGCAGTAACCAAAAATGTTTTAAAAACGGGGGAAAAGTATCGTTTCTGAGGCCTTCCGTGGCGTGCGCTGAGCATATAGTTAAAGTTATACAAAAATGTTCTATAGATGAATTGTTTATCTTAACATTATTTTTAAAAAAGTCCGCGAGTGCATATGTCTACCTTTTATAGTTTACCCATAACAATCGTTTTAATGAATGGTTCAATCCTTATAAAAGTTTGCTCTAGATAACTTTTGAATTGTTCAATCGGTTACCTTAAGACGCGACATCGACAACGGAGGGCAGGTCGCTAAAAAAAAACTGAGAATAAATATAAATAAAACGTAAAACTATGTAAAAAATCTTAAGTCCCCCGTGCGAAGCCGGGACGGGCCGCTAGTTTCGGATAATTTCGGTTACGGATATTAAAATTTTAAGGAATTTCAAAAGTAAAATACAAATAGCTAATATAATTGTTTCGTTTATACGTCACGCCGCTATCCGATAGTATCCGAAACTTTTATTTCGGATTCGGTTACGGTTACGGATATTTTTTTATATCGGATATCCGATAGTTTCGGTTACGGTTACGGAGCTCCGTAACATCCCTGGTATTTAAGGGTATTTAGTAAAAACCTTTACATACATTTCCTTCAATTCATTTTCATACATCTAGTCGTACAAACACGACACACCTAGTATAGGTAAATGTAGATACCTACTTACTCATAAAACTAAGGTGTGAACGTTTTACAAGAATACCATAAAATGTATGTATGTACCTATTTTTATTACCTGACGTCATACATATCTTCGAACTTGTATGTCGTATGTAGATGCTGATTTCAACACATACTTGCGTATGTATAATATCATGATTGTATGTTTGTCAGATTTATCTTATGCTGAGGTAATATTGCTAATTAACATACTCTTAGGTACCTATTTCTTAGTTTTCTTAGATAATAACTTATGATGCGATTTTTGTTATTTTGTAATTGTGACTTCTTGCTTTGGAACATGATTATTTTATTCTGTTTAATTACCATGTTATGCATAATTTTATTTATACATATGTACCTATATCTGTATGTCTGCCTATATATAAATAGATGTCGTGGTGGCCCGGAAGTTTAAGACGCCCGCTTCTCATGCATGAGGTTACAGGTTCGAAACCTACCAACGGCAAGTACCAATGTGACTTTTTCCGAGTTATATGTACTTTCTAAGATAATCTAGACACCACTAACAAACGGTGAAGGAAAACATCGTGAGGAAACCTGGGCTTATAATATCTAATTATAAGTTTGTAATAACGCCAACCCGCATTGAGCAAACGTGGTGATTAATACTCAAACTTTCTCCGTGTGAGAAGAAGCTTTGCTCAGTAGTGGGCATTTATAGGCTGCTGATGACCTATATCTAAAGCTTAAATTCCAACTTAATTCCAAATATAAAGTCTAAAAACAATTGAAGACCTTTAGCAATTTGGGACAACTTCTGGAAATGGAAATGCATAATTAGTTGTTGGGCTACAGCTCCTACAGGAGAAGAGACTTCTTTATCCTACACTAGCTTTTACTCGCGGCTTCGCTCGCGTGACAAAAGAATAAAAAATAGCCTATGTGACATATATCAATACACACAGCGCCATCTATACCAATACTTTTGTTTTTTCCTCGGGAATATCAATTTATTCCGGGTTAAAAAGTACCCTATTATTTAATCCGGACATCTAACTTTACGTCTGCAAAAATTCAAAGCAATCGGTTGAGTAGTTACGGCGTGAAGGTGGAACAAACAAACAAACAAACAAACAAACAAACAAACAAACAAACTCACTTTCAGATTTATAATATTAGTAAGGATTAGTAAGGATTTCAGAGCCAGACGAGCCAGTCCAGACGGTCAGAATATATCATAATATTATGTCAATACATCTGACTACAAGAGATAGAATTAGAACACATTTTGTAGTGAAGAGCATAGGTCGTAATTCTATTCTTACATCCCTAGTACTAGAAATTACTAGACGTATGTAAATAACAGTCATACATACTAATGTGTCATAAATACCAAATTCAAATAACTGTACCACTATCAACAATCGATGTATCTTACTTACACAGATAGCGTTATCGTTTCCGAAACTTTATCCCTAAGCCGGTGGGTTTACATAATAATAATAATATTTTTCTATTTATTCTAGATGTTGCTTGCTTCATTCTTCAAGTATTTTAATAAGATTACATATGTCTTTTCCTCTTTAGTTATCTTACATTCAAGGTTAACTTGAGTACCATTTATTTGGATAGACCTTGGTGCTTACTATTGAAACCAATTTCCATGTCAATGCAATTTCAATCCAATAAAATATCAAAATAATTATTCAATGTCAAAACTATACAACCCCTACGATAGGGCTACGATAGCTGTTAAAATAGCGTTCACAGTACGGAATATAAATCCTCCAAATTTTCGGTCCGACCGAGATCCCCAAGTCTTCTTCTACCTGGGGTAGAATTTATACTCCTGTCTTTGTAAATTACACTATATGTATGGCATAGTAAACTAAGGCTGAAATCTTTGCGGGTCCTGGGTGCTTACTCTTGTATCCAATTCCGATCGATCGTTGGGTATTGTGAAATTTCGTACTCTTGAGTCGCAACACTAGCGCCCATTGCATCCGTATTGCGTGGATATTGAATGAACTAAATGGTATTGAGTTTGTCTTTATATTCCGTACTCTGAATGCTATTATAACAGCTACGGTAAGGGTTGTATAGTGTTGTCATTGAATAATTATTGAGATTTTATTGGATTGAAATTGCATTGACATTGAGATTGGTTTCAAGAGTAAGCACCCTGATTTGGTCGAGAGGCTGTAATTCATCAAACCCGCGTACAAGTCGTCTGTAGGTACTTTACTTCAAGTGAGAAAAGTGATAGTAATCTATCTATATCACATTCGAGTAACACCGCATCTTTGCATCAAACTCTTATCAACAAGCCTTTCTTAAGATCAGTGATATTGCACATTTTTTTGATAATGTGTTATTGCATATTTCACAAATGCCAACCTCGTTGCCTCGTTGGCCGAGTGGTCGCAAGTGCGACTGACAGGCAAGGGGGTTTCGGGTTCAAACATTACTGGGTTTTAAAAAAAACACTCAGTAGTAGCACGGAGCCTGGAATTGTGCCCGGTGTATGGCAATAGGCTCACCCCCTATTACATGGGACTCATGACATAAACAGTGAAAAGTACTTAGTTGTTACATAATTACATTGTACAGTGGTATTAAGTACCGTAATGTGCACGTCTGCCTAACCCTTCGGGGATAAAAGGTGTGATGTTATGTTATGTAAACATGGCAGAGTACGGGATCGCTGTTCACCGTAATTCTAAAAGCTCCTGCCTATACGGTGTTACAGGCCCCGGTCCAAAGAGCAAAGAGTAAAGAGCAAGTTTTAAAAAGCATATCCATATTTTATCGGTTGCTAGGTATATATATACACTTTTAACAGTACTATGTGATTGCACCTGTATACACAAAATGGTACCGGAGATTTAAAATCAGTAAGCTTACTTACGTACGTACAGGTACGTCAGACATATAAATTATACGACTATTTTAAAACACACATTTATATTTTTTTTATATGTATAAAGCGGAAGTTTGTTTTTTTGTTTGTTTGTTTGTTTGAACGCGCTAATCTCCGTAACTACAAGTCTGATTTGAATAATTATTTTGATGTTGGATAGTGCATTTATCAAGGATGGCTATAGGCTATAAAACATCACGTTACGACCAATAGGAGCTGAGCAGAGCGTGTGAAACCGCGCGGAAGTAGCTAGTTGAATAATATAAATAGACAAACCTTGGAATCCTCCGCACTCCTCGTAGATAATATATGAAGCGTAGCCCATGCTGCTGTACAGGACCGTCCAGGCTGGTCCGAAGACCCACTTGGGTGGGTTCCAGCTTGGTTTCTTCAGGCCATCGTACCATGCCTTCTCATTGCCATCCTTGCGGACCTGGCCAGCGAAGTACAGGCCGTTGACCCATCCACCCACGTTGGGCAACACGATTGAACCAAGAGCGGGCCAGTTTGCCATCACAAAGTCTTGTACGCTGGAAAAAGTAAATATTTAAATGTTAGAAATATTGTTTTATTTGATTGTTAACTTAATCATCAGCAGACATCCCTGTACAACGAATTTATAACCAAGGTAACCAGAAACTGTAGTTTTGATGCACAATTTTGGAAACCTTATTGGAACTCTAATTGATAACAGAATCCTAAGTTAACACGAAATTTCTGCAACAGTAACAAATAATAATCCAAAAAATATTCTTGACTTTAGAACTTTAGCAACCGTTTAGTAGCTTTACTGTTTAATGAAGAAATAATAAATGAAAACCAAGAAGTGTTCTTATATTAAATGTCAATTTCAATATTATAATTTAATTTATTACTCTCACCCTTCAGCTGCCATAGCAGACAATGTCCAAAAGAAGACTGCTGCAGAATGACTAGTTTATTATACGCTGACAATTTATTAAAAAATAATAATTTAATTTTGACAAGTCATACTGTCAAAGCAGTGCCTTAAATTGCGATTAAATCATGAGTAAGCTATTAAAATTGGACATTAAACTAATAAAATAAATGTCAAGTCATACTAAATATTTCTGGAATAACAGAAATATGCCCTTTATTTGTTGAATTTTATGAATAAACCCTTAGTTTCAGTTTTAGAGATCTCAATAACTTAATCTATAATCATATATACAACGGTAACAATTATTCACTTTTTATGGCATAGGTAGTAAGCATGCTGACATAAGATGACAAGTAATTACAGTAATCACAGTTATGCCAATGGACAAGCATATGTTACTGCTGGTATCAGGCTAATCACTTATACATCATTTAAAAAAAACTTGTAGAAGTATCTGTTATGTCTCCGCATAGTCCGATTTTGAAGTATCACGTCAGAGGTTTATGAAATTAATGATAGATATTTTTATTTGCAGTAACATGAATAATATTACAGTAATCTAAATAAAAAATGATTTCCCTTCATTAGTCTCGCTAGAACCAATCTGGCTAATTATGGTCTTAAAATATTTGTAGAAGTATAGGGGAGGTTTAAAAGGTGAGAAAAAATTTAAGGCAGTGTCGGATCAGCTGGTATAATAACATAAAGATAAATTATACACTTAGCAGAGAAAGTAAAAGTACCATTCACATTACAAATTTAATACTTCCCTGTTCCACCTAAAACAATAATAAGTACGATATAAATAATATGTACAATAATATCATGACCTAGCTAATTTTGGCTTCTGATAACACAGCTTAGCAACACATTTAGCCAATCTCCAATATTTATATAATGCTTGTTAATTATCAATCAACAGATAAAAAATATTATTGACATTACATAATACATGGGATGTTTTTGTTATCAAGTTTGTTATTTTATTATCTGGGGAACTTTCTGGTAATATTTTGAAACTATTTTGTAAACATCCTTAGAAATAGCATAGTCTGACATTTAAACATGTGTGTGGCATCTTCTAAGATGACTATTAATAGAATCAACTGCCTATTATTGTTTGCCATATGTTTAACATGACTCCATGATATAGGAATTTCTGATGACCACGTTTATTAATAAAAGAATTAAAATCTGGAATTTTGAGTGGTGACTAAGAAATAGATTGCTAACTATTTTATGGAAAATATAATATACCTCAAAAACAGACAATATTTGCGTGTGTAATACACGCAGTTATTGCATTTTTAAAGTATTATTCTTGGAAATGTGCAACCCTGTCTAATTGCAAAGGAATAAAAACACACACAAAATATGTAGGTATAACTGTGACTATGTTCAGGTGAACAAACTGACAAACAAACTTTCTTAGAATTAGCACACAATTCTAATTAGAGACTGTGTGAACATGTGAACTTTCTACTCAAAAGAAATGTTGCTCTCTAAGTCAATAAATTTGAACTCTATTTGAAAACAAATATGTACTAAAATTAAACACAGGTAATTAAGTAGAAGTTCAATATTAATTAGAAAACTAATCAGATTCATTGAATTACACACTTTTTGTTAAATGACAATTAAGTTTATTTTTGAATGGTTTTTTACTAGTTAGATAGGTATTTTTTCTTTGTATCTACCTACCCAACAAGAAAAAACTAAATGTACTAGGTAAACAGTTTTATAATAAAATTCTAGATGATTCTGTCTGAAAAAGCCTACAACAATTAAACTGTTCTAATAATAATTGTTTGTAGGTAATAATCACTTGATCGAAAGAAATATTTTATAGCCCGGATACTAGCTTGAACTTTACAAAAGAGTTATTACTCATTTATTACACATAATGCAGGTATTTCAGTTATAAAACCTTACCTAGAATCTGCCATTGTGATTTTATTATACTAGATTACACTTTTTATATACCGTAAAACCAACCACTTCACTGCTATAACAACTACACAAATATGAGTAAAATATTGAAATTTCCATACCTGTCCAACTCCATTCTTACTAATTCTTTTCGACAGACACTTGAGATAACGAAACAGTACTTAAGCCGTGTACGCCGCTACACAATTTAAATTAATGATAATAAACACAAATCGTTCACAAAATATCGATTAAAGTCCGTGTGTCGCCAGTTTGATTAGATAATATTAAACAAAACTTACCAGCAATAGTAATTGGACACCTAATTTTCTGTAAGTGACGTAATTTTCGTTATTATCAACGATGATTGAGCCAAATTCTAATGTAGTTAAGTTATTCGTGAGTGAGCGAGTCTCCCGTAACCATTACGCAATTTATTTACATTTTAACCGGTAATCTTCTAGAAAGGTAAGATAGAATTGAAGTAAAAAGTATTGTTACTTACTCGTTTATGTTATTCAATCCAAAATCTGCTGGTAAACGCAGAAAACGTCTCGTAAATGTGAAAATAAAAATGTAAAAGCGAAATCAGCTTCCCGGAACAAATATTATAATACAAAATTGTAAAGTTATGGAAATACCGTAAATGCTTTGTAAATTGTGGGCTTTTCAAATTTGTAGCATTATACTTAGGTGACGTAACGTCACTATTGTCAGATGACTGCATCGTTCCGTTTTGTGTAAGATGCATATTTCCGTTTTGTCTATTTAACAACAATTCAATGTTTCTTCTCTTTGAACTGGTAACTTTCGTTATTTATAATTATCTAATACTACTTTACTTGTCTTTTTCCGATTTTATTTTATTTAGATGTTTCCCATAGCAACATAGATATTCACAAAAAAAATGATATCTAGTAGTTAGAAACGGAACGCAGATAACACTGTTTACACAGTACCGGCAAGTACCGACACAGGGTAATAAAATGAATTCAAGGCTCCTATAGCTATTTTATCTCCTTTGAACTTTGATCTTAGCAGTGTGGATGCCCAACAAGGAATGTTTTGAATGAAAACAATGAAAAACTCTCTTCAACCTGTTAGTCTGTAATGAAATAGGAGCGCGACATCTAAACCTTTCCAGCATATGGTTAAAAATTATTACCTAAATAGAGTGCATACGCACTCCGATAACTTTGTAACTAACTTAAATACCTTTAAAGGTACCTTTATAGGCTTGGCCAACCAAGCCTAGATACATTTTAAAGTAAAACCTACCTAACTGGCTGTACCTACCTTTTTCTAATTAATATTCATCTAACGTTTAAAATTCTACAGACACAATGGTCAACTGGGGAATGATTGGGGCCATCATATCGCCCAATGTTGGCGGTTGGCTTGGCGCTCTAACAATGAGCGGCAAGGTGAAACAGCCCGATGGTAAGGCGTGGTACCAGACGCTGAACAAACCTTCTTGGACTCCACCCTCCTGGCTGTTCGGACCTGCATGGACAGCACTATACAGCGGCATGGGTTATGCTTCGTACCTCGTTTATACAGAGTGTGGTGGTTTAACAGGTATTTACAAAGTTACTCTTTTTTATTTTTTGTCTTTTTACGAAGTTTAGTGAGATTTGGTTAGGTTCCACATCATTATTTTTTTTTATTGATTTCAGATGACGCTGTTCTTCCACTGTCGTTGTACGCTGGTCAGCTGCTGCTCAACTGGACTTGGACCCCTATTTTCTTCGGAAAACAAAAAATTGGATTGGTAAGGGCTTTTTCTTATAAGAGAAAAATATCTACTTTTTTAATATTTTAATTTTTATATGAAAAAAATATAGTAAGTGGAAGCTCAATTATCGGTATGACATTAGCTGAAAAATATTATAATTTTGATAATTATCATCCTAGCGACGGCACTGTTCATTTTATTTTTCATTAAGTATTTAAAACCACTACAATCTGATAAAGGTCTGGAATCGATCTGATGATGGAGCCAAGAGGCATGTCATCGTCCACCCCTATAAAATAAAACTTGATTTAATTTATCAGTACATATTATTATATATTTAAACAATGTTCCAGGGTTTCGCCCACATGCTAGCACTGGACGCGACAGCAGTGGCGTGTACCTACAGCTTCTACAACGTCGACCCGACCACCGCCTACTTCATGGTGCCTTACCTCGGCTGGCTGTCCTTCGCGACCTGCCTCAACTACTCAATATGGCAGCGCAACAAGCCCAAGCCTAAGATTTAAATTAAACATTACACCAGGTTAATTATTCAAACAAAATGTAATGAAACAGTTCATTTAAATAAGTAATGTGAGTCAAAGTGAATGATAAAGCATTTATCATAATCATAGTATTATGGAAGTCGACTATCCCAGTATTTTATGTACCGGTCTCGCAAAATGCACTTATGAGTACAAATAACCACTAACTAGTTTAATTCATTTATTCATTGAAATAAATAGCCATCACAATCATGTTTAAAACTCCACCACATATGCCAAATATACCTCAATTGTAGCAAGTACCGTAATCAAATAAAATGACATTTATGTTTAGTATTGTACATTTATATTGCGTAATTCAATAAATATACACTAAGGATTTAAGTATTATTTCATGCGTTTCAATTTGTTTAATTCCCCTTGCTGTACTGATGCTTCCTTGTAGATTTGTTTCACCTTCTCTTTTCTTATATTGTCGCTGGAAAGAGACAAAAGGTTGATTAGCATGATTATAAATATTTTCAACTTTATTACCAGACGATAGAGTTTAAAATGGATTGAAGGATGTTGATGACAAGAGCAGTTAAATATTACAAAAAAACCGAAGGAAGATGTTTCGTTAAATGAGATCATTCTAATTACTTTCGTTGTACGATCCAAGATAGTTTGCCCTTATCTAATACAACAAGACAGAGCTGCATTATTTTGTTCTTTTTGTGGTCAATACTGCGTACACGTGACCTTTAGCTTTCCAATTATATAATAAAATATGTGACTTCATGAAAAGAAATTAGCTTGACCTGTTAAAATCTGTATGTTATGCGATAATAGTGTACATAAAGCAATCTTACCTATGTATCTTCTGCCGTATCTTAACGGAGCCGATGTAAGATTTGTCTCTCCTGATCTCTCGGAGTGCTCCCTTCATCTCCTTCTTGTATTTGGTCTTCAGTCGCTGGGACTCTGCTTGTTCCCGAGATAGCTTGGCACTCTTGCTACCAGTAAACCTGGAAGACAGAGAAGAAATTTTTAATTTTCGTGGATTGCATAACGCTTTTGTTTTTGAAATCGGCTCAAAATGACTTTATGTAGAAGTGAAGAATGAGAATTACTTTCCAGTGAATAAGGATTTGATAAACTTGCTAACATGGCCGATATGAGGGTCTAATTAGTAGGAAAAATATAATGAAAACCGTTTCAGCAGTTAGGATTAAGCTCAAATAAACATAGCCAACAAATACTTACACTTCCTGAATATCTGGCTCGTACAACCTCAGAGCTTTCGGCCTCTTTTTCTCCCTGGTAAGAGGAGTGAATGTCTTCACCTCCAACCCAGCCCTCATGTACTTAACAATCTGATTCGCCCTATTAGCAACCTTCGCAGGATACAAATCCAAGTCTATCCTACCTACCAACTTCAAATGAGGCTCAAACAAATAAACCTGCGCCTCAATATCATTAAAATAATCAAAAAACTCTTTCAAAATCCCCATACTTGTCGAAAAACAACGAATTTTAAAATCATTGTTAATTTCTGTTAGAGTAAAATCCCGCGCCGCCATCTTGCCTTCAACGTCCATTTTCGAACAGTCTTCTTCTAAATTCAAGATTTTTGAATCTTTATGTAATCTAAAAGGCGGTACAACTTGTATGGGATTTAAAACAGTAACATTAGCGCTTAAATATAAAATACCTCTTAAAAAGTTTATGGCAGATGGTACTAATCTTTTTGATAAAATTGTGTATTCTAGAAGGAGAGTAGTTACAAATAAACCTCTTGATATTGAGTAAGCGTCGTTAAACCTACATGTAGTTAGGATTTCTGTCATAAATATCATAGATGGCGTTGTGATCGGATGTCGGAAGTCTGACGTTGGATATAATAAAGATATTAATTTGAAAAATATCAACGTGTCCATATCAGGAACACGTTTTTGCCGTTTTTTGTATTGTCCATATTTTTCTTTTAGTAACTCTGCTATGTACTTTTTAGATGATACTTTATTTGTTTGTGATAGGTCGTAGAAGTATGGAGCGAGTCTATCGAAGACGAGAAAAGCTTTGATGACGTCACTTCTTCTTTTAAATCACTGAATAAGTCATTAATATACTGTAACATGTACGCAAATAGTTTTGTAAGTTTATCCTTATTTTTCTCTGAGAGACTTGGATCGTAACTCTTTATCAGGTTTTGTAGGGCACTAGATTGTTGAGCTGGTGTTTTTCCAGTTAATAGTTCCTGTAAAAATGGACAAATCTTACAATTTTATAAAGACTTTCAAAGTCGAGATGAGTCCCAAAAGAGCGTGTTATGAACGAATGTGGTAAAAGTAAGATAACATTGGTCAAAGTTAAAATAAAATAACATAATAATTATTTTTAAATAGATTACTACCAGTCGCTTATTAAAATCACTATTCTTATGAACGCTATTCTTAGGAACAAAAGTTACTAATTAAATACTAAAACTCGTAGTGATGGGTAAATAAGTATTTGTATTTCCACCTACCTTCAACTTATCCCCTTCTCCATCATCAACATCAAAGAAGGAACCAATTTTCTCAACATCCTCCGGTTCCTGTTCCTCATCACTTTCAGCATCAGATTCTTTCAAATCATTTAAGTTATTCAAATCTATTTCACTTCCTTCTTCCTCCTCCTCATCATCTTCTTCACTCTCGTCATCACTGCCTTCTTCATCATCATCACTAGATTCTTCTTTAGAATTCTGGAATAGTATAGTATCTACTTCGGTTTTCTTTGCTTTCTTTTCTTCTACTTTTTTTCCATTTTCTTTTGGTTTTTCTTTAGATTTACTTTTGACTTCTGGTTTTATATCTGTGCTATCATCATCGCTTGATTCATCATCATCATCTTCAGCTGATTCATCATTTTTATTTGAAACTAATTTCACTTTGTTTTTATCTTTTGATTCACTTTTCTTGTTATTTCTTCGCTCTTATTGCTGGCATCAGATTCATTATCATTTTGACTTTGATCTTGATTCACTTTATCATCACTTTCATCGTCTCCTTCATCTTCTCATCAGATGTATCTGATATTCCATCATCGAATTTCGGTTTGGCGTTTGGAACTAAAATTATAAACATTAAACTTATAAAAATTGTCTTTTTTTTAAAATTTTTGGAAATTTAAATATTATTTGTTTAGTTACCATAAGAAGACAACTAAGCGAGAAGTAAAAACATTACCTGAAAAATCTTTTAACACTTTCTCAGGTACCAACGGTTTTCCATCTTTATCGTAAGCAAGCATGAAATCATGTTCATCGTCCAGCTCAAAATTGTCGTCCAAGTCCTCAGCCGATCTGAAAACAAAAAATTGAAATGAGCAAGTCACCCCAAACCATTTTAAATTACAGTACCTCTATTCTCTTATAATAATTTAACATTCTTTCATTAGAGTACAACAATACCTGTGTTTCACTTTTGCTTGTTTACTTTTAACCGCAATCTGTTCCTCCTCTCCCATCATCCTCAACTCCCTCTCCTTCTCCAGCTGTTCTAACCTCGCCCTCTCTTCTTTTGCTTGTTTTTCATCATTTTTTAGACCATCTGAAGGCTGAAATATTGAAATATAATAACTAAATATTTAGCTTATCTATACATCACATCAATGGTCTATCAGTGAACAATGTTGAGCAAAGGCATCTTCTCGCACGGAGAAGGTTTGACAATTAATCACAATGTGGCTTTGGAACTAGATACATATAAAAAGCGTACTAGATATGTTAAGAAGTACAAAAGACCCATAATTGTTATTTTACAATATCATATCAATTATTTCTACTTACAGTGCCTCGCTTCTCAAACTTTAGTTCCCTCATCATCTTGTCATAGTCCATATTCTTCTTTTCAGCTTGACTTAATAACTTCTCAATAGCAGATTCTTCCGTCCTCATCTTCTTAAACACAACTGGTTGGAGATCTTTCCATTCCGAGTCCAACTTCTCTGTCAAATCTAGAGTTTGTTCTTTTTCCTTCTGTTTCTCTGCTTTTCTTTTCTTAGATTCCGCTATCAATTGTTCTATGAGATCTTTGTGTGATTTCGCACCGTCTTTGGAGTCTGTTTTTGATAGCATTCCTCCACCGAAATGACCATCTGCTACGAATTCATCTGGAGAATTAAAAATTATATTAATTGCAAGATATTTATACTGCTAGTTTGTAATGGTGGTCCTAAGTTTTATCTCTGTAGTGTAATCTTCTACTTACTATTATATAAAGCTTAAGTTTGTTTGTATGTAGAAACAGGTTAATCTCCAGAATTTATTATTGTGACTGCCTCGTTGGCAGAGTGGTCGGAAGTGCGACTGCCAGACAAGGGGTCTCAGGTTCCATTCCCAGGTTGGGCAAAGAATTACTGGGTTTTTAAAAAAATCTCTAATATGGCAATAGGTTCACCCCCTATCACATGGGACTCATAACATAAATAGTGAAAAGTGGGTGTCACTTCTGTGTGCACCTTTGCTTACCCCTTCGGGGATAAAATGTGTGAGGTTATGTTGTTTATTTTTGTGTTGGAAAGTCAATTTATTGAGGAAGGCTATAGGCTATAATCACGCTACAGTCAAAAGGAGCCAAGCAGAGCTAGTAAAATTTAGGTACTTACCACCTAGACCACCAAACTTCCTGCCATCTTCATCCTCCTCATCATCAGATCTTGGATCATCAAACTTTTCTATTTGCTCTAGTGTTTGACCTCTGAAATATTAATTGATAACTTTTAACAATACTGTTTATGACTAAAATATGTTTATTTTTTGAACATGATGAAAGTTTTGATTTAGACATGAAATTGTTATTGTGAAACTCATAAAAGTGTTTAAATTATTTAAAAACATACCTGTGAGTTAAAACCTCATCATCGGCGAGATTATAAATATTCTTCTTGTTATGCTGCTTCACCCGTTCTGCTGCAAATCGAGCTACCATACGCTCTTCAGCAGACAGCTGAGTACTTTTCTCACCAATACGACGGTCTATGAAAGCATTGGTTTTATTCATCAACTTCATTTCTGTACCTAATGTCTCTTTTCTCTGTACAAAATAAAAGATTTATAAAGATTAGTAACGTAGCTTCAAATTATACAAGAATGTGCTTTAAAATTAACATAATCTGTATTTTGAATTGGCACCATCCTGGTTGAGTGACCATACATACATTTCGGTTTAAACACCATAAACATATTGAAGTGTCTTTCGACTATTTTTAACACACTAAAGTTTATTAAGTGAATGTAATATAACAGTAATTACCTTCTGTATAGCTTTAGCTCTCGACACACCAGGTAAACCTCTGTCATGCTTAGACTTTTTACCCAAAACTTTAAGTTTCTCCCTGTTGATGTGAACTTCGAAAGGATTCAGTTTCTTCTTATTTATTTCAGATTTCTTCTTGTTATGGACTTTGTCCGCAAGGCCCGAGTTTCTCTTATTTTTAACTTTAGCCATTATGTGTAATTAGCTTTTAAACTGGATAATAAAATTTTAATACCACTACCGAGCCGAGAGTAGGACGTAAATCGTGAACCAACCGATGATACAAATTAGGTTAGGATTTTGACATTGACACAAAAACAACACATGCGTGGTTTTGACGTTTCAAAGGATGCGTTCAGTCGAACGAGTCGAACTGATTAAAGTGGAATGAATGACTTTGGTTAGTGCCGTGGTTAAGGTGGAAAAATCAAAACATATTTATTCTCTTTGACATTCGTTAAACATTGACATATCTTTAATAAAAATATGTCCACATTCGAATTAATTATATCATTAAGCACATTTTAAGTGTGGGAGAGCCATGCCTCGGCACGAATGGGCCAATCTCCCCAATCCCCGAATCCCCAACAATCCTCAAACTCCTAATCCCCAAAAGGCCGGTGAAGCACTTGTAACGCATCTGGTGTTCCAGGTGTCCATGAGCGACGCCAATTGATTACCATCATCCGTCTGCCGGCGTTTATCGGCTTTAGCCATAAAAAAAGAAACATAAAAAACAAGATATTAAAAATGCGATAGTCTATAAATCTAAGTTTTAGTTTATAGATATACATATTTTTTGTTAAATAATTAATTTTTAAATATTGAGATTTCTATTAAAAATGAACGTGAACTTTATTTTATTTCTTTTGCATCATAAATCGATGCTGCAACTGCAACTAGCGCCGCAGTTGCCAAAATCATAATTTTGTAAATATTATCTATCTTGTAGCAGTTACCTTAAGGTGCATTTTAGATGAAATTACGACTGAAACTTGAAACTTGATTGATTTTAGTTCTGTGTTTGTGGCTGTGTGCGCTAGTGTTTACAAAAAGCTCGAATTTTATTGGATAATCTCAACCGAACGAATAGCTCCGAAGTTGTTCTCGGCTAATTTCGCATTGACGCCGTGTTGCACATAGCGCGTAGGTATATTATTGTGTGGCTAGCAGGCTTGCCTTTTCTGATTCTCAAGAAAGAAACTACTTGTTCAAGTAGAAAAAATGTCAGATTCCGAGACAGAAATCAGCGAAGAAATTTTACAAAAGGAAATTGCAGGTTAGCAACTTATTTTATTAGTGTTATTTGCTTTAAAAATCTCTTTGAGCTATATAATTTGGTCTGCCCGGCTATGTAAAATGGCTTCCTACATTGAAATTAAGGTGAACTGGGTTTCAGCCTATGTTTTGCCCAAAATATCTCTGATAATACAATATTTATGTAACATTGTTTTATGCGAATGTAATAAACTATAAAAATAACTATTGTTCCGGGTTTACTTATAAATTGAAGTGATATTTTTGTGAATTTGTCGTGGGATTATTTTACAAAGGCGGCACAGGCAGTTTGGATGCATTATTATTATTGTATTTTGTCAAGATTGAAATGTGTATTTTATTATTGCTCATATACGTAAGTCAGTAGCTAATATTGTATACAATAGATTTACATAAAATACCATCATATTTGTTTATGTGCAAGACTTACACTATAGTAGCCTAAAATTCATCTTCAACTTAGCATAAAAAGTGATCTAATTCTAATCAACTAAAACCTTTTGTTGTCTAGACTCATTTTATTATCTATTACTATCCACAGATATTCTAGACCATGCAAGTCTTGAAAATACTTCAACCAAGAAGGTTATACAGAAACTGGAGAAAAAGTTGGGGGTGGACCTTTCAAGTAAGAAGAAAATGATTGATCAGATCGTAATGGATATTGTGAATAATATGGAGTCTGAAGATGAGGATATGGATGAGTCCAGTGATGAAGAACCGAAGAAGAAAGCTCCTCCAAAGAAAGTGAAGAAAGAAGAAGAAGATGAGGATGATGAGGAACGGGATGATAGCAATGACAGTGATTGGGGGGTAAGTAGAACTTAACTAACAGTACGATTCATATTACAAAGATATATTAAATTAATTTCGGTTTATGGCTTACTCATGTAAGCAACTATAATGTGTACTATTCAAGTTAATTCGGTAAATGAGTATGTGATTAAACCGTAATTAGTTTAGTATTGACTGACACTAAATCTACTAATTGTGTCCTAGCTGAGCGTAAGTCTTTTCTCATATTATAGTGTAAGGAATTGATCTCTTCAATAAAATAAGAAGTTCGGAAATATTTCATCGCTACTTGCAACGTTTCGGATCTTTGGCCACCACAACCAGTTTAATAATTCCTTTAGGTACCTGTTTTATGCCTGTACTTGAAGAGAAATAGTAACCTCATTTATAAAAAAAATAAATTAGTCTATTAGTTTTATAATCTATTTAATGCAAACATACAATCAAATCTTACCTCTTTATACATATAATATTAGTAGGTTATATGAGTTATATTCCGTGTACCATTTTATAGAAATTCGGAAGCCAGCCTTTAGCTTTAGACCTTTTTATTATTAATAGCTTTAAGTAAATTGTAAATATTTATTAAAGATTCTGTAATAGGCTTATCAGTATAGGAAGTATGCAAATACAATTACTTATTTATTGATTAATGGGTACTTAATAATATCTTTATTGGTAGGTACTTCATATTCTTAGGAAGTGTTAGTTTTAAGTCTACCATTCCTTTATTAGAAGTGTCGAAACAAGCACTATTACAAAATAAATATAAGTATATTAATAGTATTCCAAATAAATAAATGTCTATGATTTAGCAAAGCTTAACTTGTTTCCCCATAACGTGACCAAATTTCAGCTGAAAAAATGTGCAGTGCATCTAAAACGGAATTAAAATATTTTAATTTCCTATCTCGAGGTATGTAGCGTTATTCAAATTAATAAAAAAATAAGAGGTCGGTATACTTTAGACTTCTTATGAATTTTCATAATCCATTAAACATTCCATGCATTTCTATAATCCATGCTACATACATAACCAGAAAGCTTTATTTATTAACCACTCACATTTTTATTTTGCCTGATCTAATCACTGGCACTTAACATTTTTTTGTTGCTATTCCATTGATAATGCACAGTCTTAGAAAAATAGTATTACCAAATAATATTAACTTGGCTCAGAGGATTGAGTTGCTCATGATTTCATCCTGCTTTTGCACAATTAACCTAGTAAATTAAAAAAAGTTGCTATTTTATTTTGACAGAATTTTTTGTGGAGAATGATTCTCTGCTATACTTCTCTTGTTACAATTTATATGTCAAACGTAGCTAAAGAGAGATAGATATATTTTAGACTAGCATTGTTAATATTATAAGTTTGTGGGCACTTAACTCTGCATTCGACTGCACAACTTACCGAAATTAGTAGCACATTTCATTAAATTTTTCATCGCACCTCTTCCACTAAGTAGCAAATTGATAAACTGAGCTACTAAAATCGATTTATTTTATTTACAGAGTGCAGTCGGAAGGTTATTTATGAATAGCGAGTGTTCAGATGAATGCTCTTGCACACAACAAGACCCACACATCCCGTCTAATATCAAAAGACGTGTTATAAGAAAGCACTTCACTGACCAACCGAGGAAGGGAGTGATACTCAAAAGAGTTGCTCCTAACCATTCTGATGATGAAGCTGAACTCTTTGGAAAGCTTACTGCTAAGAAGCTACGCAAACTGCCAGAACATGAACGTGATTTGATGATGTTGCGTATAAACCAAATGCTTCTTATCAAACTGTATTCCATAAATATGCACCTGGATAAAGCTACACAAACTACTCCGTTGCCATCGCCTCAGTTTCAAGCAAAGAAATTGTATCGTGTAAATGCTATCCCAAATATTAATATGCCTCCAAATCAAACTACTGCTAGTGCTCCGACACCACCAGCCAATGAACCAAAACCTGAAGTTTCTACTACTAAGGAAACTCCAGAAAGTTCATGGACTGGTCGTTTTTGTTCCATTATGTAAAAATGTGATCTTGTGATTGTGACAAGTTATTGAAACCTTATCTTGAACATACACAAAATTGCAATATAGTTGTTTTCCCATGGCAGTATTATTTGCTTTCAATCAGGAAAAAAATAAGTACAATGTTCCAAAGATAATAAAAATTCTATTAAGTCTACTTATTACAAAAACTATTTCAAATAAAAAGGGAAAACAACTATTGTTTTTTCTCAGAAGGTCTCTCAAAAGGTGACTCATTATCCAAATACTCAATTTCTATATATTTCTTAAACTAATAACTGACTTAGAAAGTATAAAATTCTTTCTGGTTTTATGAAAACAAATAAAATTGGTATTAGTACTACAGATCAATTATACAAGTAATCCAAAGCAGTGATACTTGGCTGTGCAGAAAAAGTATTTATGAAGAAGCTATAAGCGAAATTATTTTTAGGTGTCTATTTAAAAAAAGAAGTTTTTGTTAACACATTTTTATATACTTTTACATTTCTTGAAACAACATTTTGAAATTCTTGTATAACAATTGTGAGTTATTACTATTTAAAATATTCGAGGATCTTCGATTAGTTCACCGCGACCCAATGTGACTCGAAACTAGTTGAGCGTCCTTGAATAATTTACTTGAAGAAGCCGTACATCATTTATACATTTATGAAATCTCCAAACTTCATTATCTTCATTAAACCAAAAATGGAATGGAGGTCTCAATTATGTACTTAGTTATAAGTTAGTATGTAAGTCAAATTAGAGCAACTCTTGTCAGCTTTAAAAAGTTTGATCATGTGTGTGTGTGATGTGATATTTTTAATTTTTAAGTTAACTTTGCTATGCATTGTCAAAACTTTTTCAAACAAAACTGATCTGATATAATCAAATGTGTGTTTTACACAAATATTTTCTTAATTTAAATTTATGTAAAGACATGAAACTACCTGAATTTGCTAATAGACATGACACGAATCATACTAACAGTTCCTTCGTTAACTAATTAACTTCATTAATCAATTACTAGGTAATCTATGTCTGTGTGTATCTTTATATATTTTCACATAAAATATCTGTCTGTCGTAAATAAAACAAGCCATTTTTAAAGTGTTTCTATGATCAAAATCAAGATTAGTTTACGAATGATCTAAGTAGTTAGATCAATTCGAATGCACAAACCCTTTCTTCAATATGTGTGCAACTCTATTATAAACCAATCAAGTTTGATTTTTATTCAATAAACAGCAGTTTGGGTAGTTTGATGTGCTGGTGTTTAGGTACTATAGTTTATAATATTCAATGAAATTGAAATAAAAACAAATATAAAGTCTAATCATTTATCTACAAGTGCATAGTATATTTTTGTGGTGTATGAAAAAAGTAGAAAATAAGGTACACTTAATTATAAGTATTTCTTGTGTCTTAGCCCCTTTTTGATTAATCAGTTGGTGCAAAGTTCCGGGTTAAGTATTGGTCAAAGACGCTGTGTCCACAAAGTAGGGATCCTAGGTGTTCCGCTATCGTATAGTCATGACCCGTGACGGAATCGCAGCGTGTCCGCAACGACTCATTAACTGACAACTAACGAAATGAGAACTGATAAGTTTTAGCTACTGAAGAAATGTTTTCTATCTCTAGTTAGATCTACCACGACATGTTTTTTTTAACCCGTTGAAATCCATCCCCTGAATTTGGTCATACAAAAGTAGTCTCTAAACATTGGAAATAAGGTCTATAATGTAATGTAATATTAGTGGAGAGCGGTCACCGGTGACCGCTTGGGGACCTATGGGATTTGCCGTTGTTACTCCCACCGACATCAATCTTATTTTGTAATGTTTTACAAAAAGAGTAATTTAAGAGTTTCTGTATTGCTTTACTAATAAAAATCTTTTGCTAATACTTACCTGGTTTTATTAGCTTCATATACTGAAAGGCTACTCAATTTTAAATTGTACAAACATATCATTCCATTTCTGTCATTTTGAAAAGAATTTGTAAAGAACTATACTTAAATGCGGCTCAATACGTTGATATATTATCGTACCCAAAATTTGTTCATACAAAACTAGTCTCTAAACAACAGAAATAAGGTATATAATGGAGTTAGTGGAGAGTGGTCACCGGTGACTGCTTAGGGGTTGAACAGTTAAAATTGAGTAATCAAGTGACGTTCGACTATTTGGACCTTACTTAGACCTCTAATAGTGATATTTTTGCTAAAAGCTTTCATTTTATTTAATCAAAACTAATGAAGTTTTAAGAACTTTAAATATTTAAATTAACTTAAATTTACTATCATATTATTATGTTCAAATATACTGAGCATAGCAATGCAAAGACTGGTTGTGTGTGGCATATTGAAGAAGCAGGCTGATTCTTCTATTAGTTATCTTGATAATATACCTATAGAAAAAGTCGTACAAACCTAATAAAGCATTCAATTATCTTTTAGTCTGGCGGCAAAAAGAAGAAGGCAGAAGAAAAGAAAAAGAAGGCTGCTCCCAAATCTAAGAAGGATAAGACAAAGAAGGTAAGTCAAAAAAAGTAAAATATTTATTATAATCCTAACGGATCGCACGTGGGACCGTAACATGAAATAAGAACAAAAATTAAAATCTATCCATTCTTTGACTCCAACTCTTGACAAATTCTAAACTTTTCTTTAACATTTTATAGGGCGGTGTTAAAAAAGCTCGCAAGGGTAGCGGATACACTAGGGCTTGCAAGCTGTCGCCAGCGTTAGCAGAACTCATGGGAGAAAGTGAGCTCCCGCGCCACGAGGTTGTGAAGCGAGTATGGGCCATCATCAAAGAGAAACAGCTCTTTGACCCTAAGAATAGACAATACGCCATCTGCGACAAAGCCCTATTCAAAGTTATTGGAGAAGAAACGTTCCACACGTTCAGCATGATGAAGTACTTGAAGAATCATTTCCTGGATTAATTTATGTGTAAGTGTAACCTTATTTTTAAGTTGGTAATGTTTTTACATATGTTTGGGCGCTGTTTTGTTGATGTTACGGCCAGTTTCAATAACCAGTCTGCTGGGAGATTTGCCGAAATCAATAACCAATCTCAATTTAAACTCTGGATTGATGTAGCTTTTTGACAGAACAGATTTTAACACCGGAACGCCATGGGGGACAAGGTATGGGCCACGATAGCGGAGGATTTACCTTCAACAGTTTTCTGTCGGCAGTCAACTGTTAAGATCAGATAGCATTGAGATAATGTCTTAAGATTGATCGAAGAACTAAGGATACAATGATGTCTCCTAGTGTATGGAGTTCATGTTAAAAATCCTATCTATAAATCAACCGACAGTTAGATTATTGAGACTGGTCTTTAGTGACATTCGCGTCTTGTTTTATGGTGGGTCTTCCGATGAGCTAAGCTTTATAACTTTTAAGGATGAGAATGAATCGTGTTTACAGTCAATTTTGTACGGAAGAGTAATTGTAAAGTGTTATGGTTTTACCAACAGCCAGTATAAAGCTCATCAAGACATCTTGTTTTTAAAATGATAGTCGCAATTTTGTTTCCTAGAATCGTGATCATGTTATTAGCCATAGATTCCAATTTGCTATTTTCTGGATAGATTCAGTGTATTCAATAATCAATTTAGTCGTATCCACTTGGAATAATCAACTTCCTAATAATTATATTCGTTTTTGCATCTCGTATATGAGATATAAATGTTTCACGTTTCTGTCTTCGAGCATAATACACTATATTTTAAGAATGCTCAAAATTAATTAGATTCGATCTAATATTGATTGCATTGTACAATGCATTTATTATTTGTTTTTCTTTATATGTACCTTTTAAGTAAGTATCGATACATGTCTAAGTCCAAAATAAATCGATTTTTGTAATATTTTTCGCTCATACAGTTTTAAATCAAACGAAATATTATTTTCGTATATATTTGGAATCATTTATAACTTAAGGTACATTGTGATGACTATTATAATTATTATTAATTATTATCGAAGTATTTTACATAATTACGTCTAAAATAATCGACTAGGTGATAATTATGTAACTATTCCACATGTAATAATATTCATTTTGCATTGTAGTCCAGTCAATATTTTATTGTATTTCAGATTAATCACTTACAATAATGATTCTTGTTTTATGTTGTTAAGTATTAAAATCGTTTAAACGCGACTGGCTCGCTGACTATCATTCTAATATGACTCTTAATCGTGTGTAAATAAGTTTCATAATTGTAAGTGAATAATAAAAGTGAGATATAAATAAGTATCTTGCCAGTCAGATATTTTTAAAGTAGATCATTTTTGTCAAACATTACACTTTATACATATCGGTAGCAGATTCTACCTTTTAAATACAATACCAATGCATTTTTGTAGTAAAAATAGTTTTTAATAGTAGCAACTCTATATAGATTGAATTGTTTACTATTGTTTTTACTAGATGGCACTAGTGTGTTTAGGGACCATTTTTTTCTTTTCGATCGAGGGCTAGACAGTAACAATGTTGAATTTGATTTCTGTGAAAAATTAATAGCATTACCCAAACAACTAGTGCCATCTTTTAAAGCATTAACGAACTAGCCAGCCACATAATTCAACAAGTAATTACTGGATTTTGGTCTTAATTATAATAACAGCTTTGTGTCTTGGCAGCCTTCAATTTTAGTATAAGTTAAACACTTTGTAAATATGTCAGTCAAGTAAAATGTAACTGTCTTATCGATAAATTGCTCAATCTACAGTGGCCAGCTAGTCAATGTGCTCCTTGGTCCGATTTCTTTATTATATTTTCAACTTTATTGTATTATGATAAAGTTGGAATCATTGACTAAATTTTACAGACTGGAGTAGCTCGATCTACTGGTTACAATGGTCTTCTTGTTAAAAGACCAAAAAGACATACTAACAACCTCATTTTTTTTAGTTCTAATCCCATCTCTAAAGTATTGCCATCCTTTTTAAATCCCTATAGTAAGACAGAGATAGTAGTTGAGCAATTTATCGCTAAGTTTTTCTATAATTGTAAGTTTAGCCTCTAGGCTTTTGAGGCTCTGATAAATGTGCAATGTCTCGGGCCGTTGTAAGTCGAATTATGACTAGACTGAGGTTGTATCTCTGCGAGAGGATGAATACAATAAAGATTAAAATAAAAATATTGAATGTGTATTATTTTTTATGAATAACTTACCTGTTTTTGAGTGCTTAGTCAATCTGGGCATGTTGTAGATGGTCCTGTAAGCAATTCTCAACCTTATAACAATGCTGAATCCTATTAGATATAAATCTCTTTTAGCAATGATAGTGCTATAGAACATGTCTGTATTTATACATAACATCACGCCTTTTATCCTGGAAGGGGTAGGCAGAGATGCACATTATACCACTGTACAATGTAACACCCACTGTTCACTATTTATGTTATGAGTCCTATGTAATAGGGGGTGAGCCTATTGCCATATACCGGGCATAGTTCCTGACTCCGTGCTACTACTGAGATTTTTTTTAAAAACCCAATAATACTTTGCTCGACCCGGGAATCGAACCCGAGACCCCTTACCCGGCAGTCGCAATTGCGACCACTCGGCCAATGGGGCAGTCTGTATTTATATGAGAAGAAAATCTCCAGCTCTATAAATATAACTTAAATCTGACTTCAACGATGTTCTGTGGATTTTTAGTAGCTGACACGATATTAAATTCTTAGTAGCATACTGAATGCTTTTAAAAAAAGCAAATGTTAATTTCGATATAAAAAATTTCAAGGACGATCAAATTTTATCCTCGGTATGCTCGGTAATCAATCTCCTATACTTATTATACTCTTTGGGTAATCCCTTCAAAGAGGTCGGTAAACACCTCGATATTAATTTCAATCAAAAACCATGGAAACGTTTGACATCGATTTAATATCAAAATCACCAACGCAACGGAAAACTGGCGAGCAACAATAACTCGAGTAATAATTTAGATAATTTTGGGAGAGGGAGCTGAGAAAACATAAAAATGGCGTGCAACGAAAACGTTATAAAGAATATGGCTAATGAAATAACTAGGAACTGTCAGGCTAATAATGTGACCGTAGACCCAGAATTTGTGATCTACATGATAGACTTGTTGCTGCTAAACCCCAAGTATGGAAAACTCTTCGCGAAGACAATCAACAGGAACAATTTAGCGTATTTCGTTGATGAGTGCGTCTCTATTCTGACGAGTAAGTAGCGATTTAAATTGCATAGCTTTTGCCTGTTGCTTAGCTCAAGTCAAAGCGGACTTTGTTAGTCAAAATCAAGACCATCTCATCTCCTTCAAAATCAGAAGTTACGGATTTATTTTATGTTCCTCTTTTAACATTCACCAAAATCAGTTTAGATATTTTAAGGTAGAAAAGGATAAAGAGAATTTTCAAAGTGACTTTGTAAACAATAACAAATTAGAGCTGGAGCCTTCTTCATTGATCTTCATACGAAGGCCATGCCACAAGATCACCCTGTAAATCCTTTTCAGATGATGGGACTGCATTAAACACTTTAAAAATGCAGTTTATTTTACAAACTAACTACGATAAACTGGAAGTATTGATCGAGAAGCATTTAGACCACATCGAGAAGTGCTTGGCTCCCCTAGTCGACGAAATTTTAGACATGGACCCTGAACTTGGCAATGAAGCTGAGTACCACAAGCTGTTTCGGAAGATGTCTATTTATTTCGTTCTGGCTAGTGGGTTGGGGAACCCTAGCTATATTGTTGTAAGTAGATTCATTTAGACCTTACCTGCCTTCATTTAGAGTTTAGTATCTAGTAGGTATCTTTAGTAGTTCTTACCTTATCTGATAGTACCTAACTGTACTGGTACGACATTTTTTGTCAACCCAATTGGAGCTTTGGTACTTCAATTTGTCGTGCGTGGCAAATCGGCATCGAAACCAAAGAGAAATAACGATTTAAAAATAATGACTGCCTGTCCATTGTCTTTGAGATTAAACCAAAATTAATTTTCGGTCTTAAAATATCCTAGACGTTAAAAGAAGGGATGGCAGCCTTAGAAAGTGTCTTCGGGATGGAAGATCTCAAGGCATTCGTGGCATTACCTCGTACCGACAAAAGCGTGCAATTGGAAGTACTGTTGGGCTACACGTCTGGCGTGAGACTCTTCAACAGGGACTGCGGTAAGGGGGGTGAAGGAATACCTGATTGTGAGTACCTGTTCTCATGCACCTATTTTGAATTAGAATCACTTTGAACCAACCCGTTGCACCGAAAATCATTGAAAGTGCATACCACTTATAATAATTTTGCAAGAGTAAACTTCATAGTATCAAACTACTTCAGATTTTGCTAGCGACCATTACCAAGGCGTTGATATAGAAGCACTATTTACTTGCTGTTGTTAAGATCTTTCTTTGCCGTCTAATTTACAGTACCCCTCAACTTAGTCGACGCGGGTAAGGCATGCATGTCTCTGCTATCCAACTCTTTAATAACTGTGATGCAAAGAGTGAACAAACTCACAACAGCCATAGAAGAGGCCATCACGATACAGGAGGAAACTGGCAATATTATTGTAGACCTCAGTAAGGTTGATGAACACAGTGAATTAACTAAGTGAGTCTCCTTATGATTTTTGTCGTTTTTGCGGAATGATTAAAGTTGAGAATAGAGTGCAAGTTTAGTTAGTCGAGTTAGATATTTCCGTCTTCTATTACGCCTTAACTTAACTCCTTATGGCTAAGATATTTTTCTCGACATAATATAATAAATATTATTTATCATACATAACATAACATAACATCACGCCTTTTATCCCCGAAGGGGTAGGCAGAGGTGCACATTATGCCACTGTACAATGTAACACCCACTTTTCACTATTTTTGTTATGAGTCCCATGTAATAGGGGGTGAGCCTATTGCCATATACCGGGCACAATTCCAGACTCCGTGCTACTACTGAGAATTTTTTAATAACCCAGTAATACTTTGCCCGACCCGGGAATCGAACCCGAGACCCCTTGCCCGGCAGTCGCACTTGCGACTACTCGGCCAACGAGGCAGTCAATTTATCATACAACTAAGGAGTATCTAATTCTTATAATTGAAACTTTTGATCAACTTTCTTACGTACTCTTTAGAATTTTATATTTATATGCCGATGATATTTTTAAATTAATAGAGAGGATTACATAGAAGTCTTTGACTTGCTTGCATTCAACCGACAGTATGAAGTTTTTATTCGCAAGTTATTGGCTGATGTGGAATCTATGACGTACAAGGGATCTAAATATGTGGAAAGAACGAAGGCAGTTCTCCAAGAGCTGCACGCTGCAGTCAAGTATAAAGCAGCTGTGCCAGTCCAGAATGTGTTTGTGAGTACATTGCTAATATCTTTAGCTATCCCTTTAGGTATAACTGCACTTTCTCTTGAAATACGTTGTTGAATAGATGCTCTAGAATCTAAAGCATCTTTTCTTTAGAGTCTACAAAGTGTTAGTAGGTATAATAGGTATCTTGAAAAGCATGATACCTACCAGATTTTTAATCACCAAGAAGAGTTGCAAATATCTGCTAGCTATATACGATGCTTCCAGTCAATTAAGAGAGCGTCTCAGAAAAATCACAACTACTTTTAGAAAGGCTTCAGGTCTTCAAAGTCATGCCAAACATTTTTTATCGTCATCTCTTTTACAGCCACTGTTCACAAAGCTATGGGAAGTTTGGCGTGCGATGCAAAACGTTATGTTCCTAGTGTCGACCGTGAACCGACTGATGGGGATCATGGGGACCATCCAGGATAAAATAAAGATGCCTCTCAAAGTTATTAACAAAATGCTTCATGGGAAGGTCGTTAATACTGATCAAGTGAGTTGGATAGTTTCCTTCTTGACAAGTTGCCGTACAAGTTTACATACACATGACACACAGACCCGGAAAAACAATCCGCGGATCACACAAAGTGTTGTTTCGTGCGGGAATCGAACTCGCGACGCGTTGCGCGGCAACCAGTTGCCCGATCACCGCGCCAACCGCGCAGTAGTTTCCATTTTAAGTATGTTGGTTAGTACAAAATAAAGGACAAAGTTACACCGCGCTTACTTTTGCATTTGTTTTGTAGCCAAAGCGCAAGGCTCTTTCAGACCTTTTTGAAAGGCCCTATATGAACTACGAGTAGGTACACTCTGTATATTCAAATTGGGTATAGTTTTTTTACGTTCTTTACTCATAGAAATCTCTTCTCAATGTTTGGTTTCGTTTCTTCAGTGCAGACTCAACATCCGGCCGAGCACAGCAGAGAGGATTTCACTGGCCTCGTTACACAACTACGTCTGCTATCCAAGCTGTACTGAGATCCTCGGGATCAAGCAACCCGAGGTATGTATTAAGAATACCAGAAGCTGCGTACAACCTAACGGATTACCGCGGCTCCATCGCAAAGCAGGAGTAGGAACAGGGTGGTTTTTAGTCAGTAAAAGTTTGCCACTCTCTGTCGACTCAACCAAGATGAATGATTAGATAGTAGCAAAATGAATAATTTTCAATGCTCAAAAAAAATTAGGTACGAATAAAACTGTTGAATGATCTGTCGTCGACGGTATTTCCGAATCGATACAACCTTCAAACCTTCAAGAAAAGAGCGTACTCCTTTTTAAAAGGCCGCCAAAGCACCTGTGCCTTCTCTGGTGTTGCGGGTGTCCATAAGCGGCGCTGATCGCTTACCATCAGGTGATCCGTCTGCTCGTTTGCCTCCTATTTCGTAAAAAACTAGATCGATCCAGTAATATTGAAATAAGGTTAGTTATTAATATCTCCCGTTATTTATCTGTTCTAGTTCTTAGGATTTTGCGCATTATGTCTGGGTGTTGGTGCACTAGTCCCCAGCAACGTGAAGATAGGTCTCATCAAGTCCAAGGGCGGGTACTACGGGTTCTGCAGTGTTAAGATGGCTGCCCGGTTCAGTAAGGATCCTGAGAGGTAATTTTCTATCAAGAAGTCAGAAATATTAACTTTAAAGTTTCTATTCACTGGCTGGGCGACCAGCTGTTGCGAAGCCTGGCGCGGGTTCGATCGCCGCACAGGACAAGTCTTTGTGTCATGTCATCCCTGTCAATGTTCTAGGTCTGGATGTGATGGGTATGTAAATTGGCTAGTTTCCTAGGTTTAAAATAAAGTGTTTCAACTTTTCAATGCAATAAATAATTAAAAAATAATCATATTCTCATCCATTGATTTGACAATTTACCTACTTTTGGATTTTTTCTCGCTAATTTTAAGGAAATAAGTATGGTATTTGACGCAGAAATATGATGAGGTCATAAGTTGTGATAATACAAAATTCATATAATACTTTTATATCTCGTTTTGGATATTTCAATTAAAGTATTGAATTTGACTACCTGTCAACTACCATATTTGTATGTTTGTAAAATTCATGGACCGATGTTATTATTAAAGTTTTTGAAATAACGACTTGAAAGGAGAGTTAACTTCTATACACCTAAATCGCCCACCTTTCGACCAGGTACATACATGAAGCCCTGAACTACGCTCGCAACAACCCCCACCTCATCAACTTGCTGAACATTATCGAGAACGTATTCAATGTAAAGGACATCGACGAACTTGTTGTAGTTCGCGTACCGAAGAGTAAGTACATACATAAACACCATAGATGACAGGACTTTTACAAAAGTTTTGCTATTTTGGCTAGATCGTAGCGTGATAAATGGACTATACCTACAACACAAGAAGAATTTTTAGAACTAGGAGTTCCAGAGTACCAAAGGTTGTAGATGGCATCCAACCGGCCGATCTGGAAGTCATTGGGGTGTCGACCTATCGTCAACAGTGAATATCTTGGGGGGCGTCCATAAATTACGTGGGATGTTTAACGGGGGCAGGGGGTAGACTCAAATCTCATCTAATCTTAAGTTGGAGAGAGGGGGTCTCGGCAAATATCACGTAATTTTTTTTGTGATAGAAACAAAAAAAGTATACTATTTTTACCGACTTCATAGTTCATTTATTCCAGATTGTACATGCTTAAGATTTAATTGTACATGTACATGGTTTTTTTTTTCTTTTTGCAATAACAATCCAACGCGTTTACGTGAAAAACCAACATTTTGAAAAATCGCGTCAACACGTGAGATTGAGGGATGGGGGAGGGGGGTGTCGAATAAAATCTCACCAAGGGGGGAGGGAGATATAGACAATTAAAAAAAACACCTCACGTAATTTATGGACGCCCCCTTGTGGGTGATATTTTGATATTATGATGATAATACCTTATCAACAAAAATCTAGTTTCATTTGTTTTTTTTAATTGATCGATAGGGTCATCCTAATACGAAAATAAATCTCAAATCTAATCTAGGTATGTCGTTTTACAGTAAAGGTATTCGACAAGGATATGCAGACGGAGACACATCCAGTACCAACGTACAAAGACAAGAACTACACGTGGGACCTTTGGGAATGGAAGAAAAGAGCTTGTCAATGGGTGCGTCCGAACTTTATTACTAGTCTTTTCTTCTAAATCCACCCACTCCATTATAGACCTTGTTTCCGATGTTTAGAGACTACTTTTGTATGGACATGTTTGATTATTAAACATGAACAAGTAGGTTCTGTTAATCGTCGGTTAGTTAGAAGAATTATAAAGACAAACTAAAGATTGAATGCTACTTGAACATGTTTTTATAATAACTATCGTGAGACATACTAAATTAACTAAAAATCGCGGGTTACTCACGTGAATATACTGACCCTTTGTGGCTCGAAACTAGTAGTTTTTCTCAGTTTATCTAAGCTATTTGCACATGTTCATCTCTGGAAAAATATTTTGCATTTGCTGAAGCTGTTCATTAATAATTGCTATTTGAGAGCAGATACAATTCTTAGGAACATAGCTGGTAAAACAGCGAACAAACAGGTAATGGTAGGAGTATACCACTAAAATTATTACCACAAATAAAATACCACCATTTTTCACCAACTCTAGGCCACAATAGTAAACTGTAAGACGCATTCGACGCAAACGAACTACAGCCACCTCCGTTCTGACATCCAATGTCAGACGGTGGAGCCGCGGGACAAGAGTTTGCAGACCAACAAGGATACTGGGATGAACACTGTCAACTCCCAGTACTTCATATGGGGTCTGAGGGGGCAACGGGGTTATGGGCAACATGTCATGGATTTGAAGATTCAACACTCCATGGAGGCTCTCAAAGGTGAGTTTATCTTTATTTTTGTTTGACAAAATATTACTTAGGAGTTATAGAATAAAAGGGTTAAAAAGGAGGTAAAGTTAGAGTGTCGTGGTGACCCGGAGGTTTAAGATGCCCGCTTCTCATGCATAAAGGTGCGGGTTCGAAACCTACCAACGGCAAGTACCAATGTGACTTTTTCCAAGTTATATGTACTTTCTAAGATTGTATAGACACCACTGACAAACGGTGAAGGAAAACATCGTGAGGAAACCTGGGTTTATAATTTCTAATTATAAGTTTGTAATCGCCAACCCGCATTGAGCAAGCGTGGTGATTAATGTTCAAACCTTCTCCGTGTGAGAAGAGAATTTGCCCAGCAGTAGGTATTAATAGGCTGATGATACAATAAAATAGAATACTTCTTATTTTACACCATATAAAAACACAAAGGAGAACAATTTTAAAATTAGCAGTATAATGGTCGGTCTTATTACTATAAATCGATCTCTTACAGACAACCTTTGGAAGAATAGGCGGTAAAGTTATAGCATAAATCCTATGCTGTAACTGATTTAAAATTTTATACTCTATGCTGGGCAATGGGCATAATGCATTCAATTGGGAGTTTGGCTTACCAGTTTGTCCATTTTTGCATGGTGCGCGCAATGGCTGGGCAAACGATCATCTGATGGTAAGGCGCTGCTCATGGACACCCGCAACACTAATTGCTGCTCAATGTATCGGGTTTTGATTAAATTGTTATTCCGGATCTACGTGTAATGTATTTAATGTGAAAAAAGTATAAGGAAAAAGTGAGAGACTGGCCTTTGTCAACCCCTTTGATGAATAAATAGGGATATCCTTACTAATATTATAAATCGGAAAGTGAGTTTGTTTGTTTGTTTGGTCCGCTTTCACGCCGTAACTACTAAACCGATTGCTTTGAATTTTTACAGGCGTAAAGTTAGAAGTCCGGATTAAATAATAGGGTACTTTTTATCCCGGAAAAATGTAATATTCCCGAGAGAAAACAAAAGTATTGGTATAGATGGCGCTGTATGTATTGGTATATGTCACATAGGCTACTTTTTATCCTTTTGTGACACGAGCGAAGCCGCGGGTAAAAGCTATTAGCTAGTTATAAATAAATTAACCTATTTTTTTTCTTTACAGCTAAAACAATATCCACATGCACTTGGCCTTGTATCGGTAAAAGAGATGACAGTGTGAGTGACTCCGTAAGCGAGGACAGAACTTTTTACTTCCCCAAATCCGATGGGTACGAAGAAAAGAACTAATTTCTTTGTTAATAATTATGTTTTTATTGTGAAACAAGTTGTTTATTCAACTTTCATAAGATTTTTTGCATCAACATAATTAGAATACCTAGTAATATGCACAGGCTGCTCGTGATTATGAGCCCCAGTCGTAGCTTGAAACTAGTCGAGAACTCTCGAGTAAACCGTTTATTCAAATTAATTTAGCTTTTGTTTCATTTGGAGCTTTCTCGTTAGTTGCGTCAAAGTCAGCTCATCAGTTTAAGAGCTACAATACCACGGAGAGATAATCATCAATTGGGAGCAAAGGTTTTTTTTTCAAGGGATTTTAACTCGACTGCCTCGTTGGCCGAGTGGTAGCAAGTGCGACTGCCGGGCAAAGGGTCTCGGGTTCGATTCCCGGGTCGGGCAAAGTATTACTGGGTTTAAAAAAAAAACTTAGTAGTAGCACGGAGTCTGGAAATGTGCCCGGTATATGGCAATAGGCTCACCCCCTATTACATGGGACTCATAACATAAATAGTGAAAAGTGGGTGTTACTTCTATGTGCACCTCTGCCTACCCCTACAGGGATAAAAGGCGTGATGTTATGTTATGGATTTTAACTGTTTAATGGGACAAATGTGATTTATTTTTGTTATTTAATGTATTTTTTTTAAATAATTTTAATATTGGTTGTTGTAAATTCTATCACCGAAATGTTTGCAAAAACAGATGGTATGGATTGGTCTTAGATAGAATATACTTTGTATTGTAGTGTTGCCTTGTTGTAATAAAATATTTAACTACCTATTTGAAATATGTGTTTACTTATATATATCCTTACTTCCTTACTAATATTATAAATCTGAAAGTGAGTTTGTTTGTTTGTTTGTTTGTTCCGACTTCACACCGTAACTACTAAACCGATTGCATTGAATTTTTGCAGACGTAAAGTTAGTAGTCTGGATTAAATAATAGGGTACTTTTTATCCCGAAAAAATTTAATATTCCCGAGGGAAAACAAAAATATTGGTATAGATGGTTTTGTATGTATTGGTATTATATGTCACATAGGCTACTTTTTATCCTTTTGTGACGCGAGCGAAGCCGCGGGTAAAAGCTAGTGTGTTTATATTGTCAAAATGAAACCAAAACTACATGTACATAATATTATATTGTGAATACTTACAGTAACATTAAAGGTATATATTTTAACTTATCTTCGTAACCTTATGAACGTGTCTCTGGCTTCCCTAGCCAGTGCTACATCATCAGCTCTTAGCTTCAAGGAGGCAGCCTCTTCTCTTAACGACACTAATGACGTCACTAGTGCTTTGAGTGACGTCGGCAATATGGCGTCTGGGACTGACAGCTTCGCGAACTTTGACTGGAAATTGAGAAAAACGTGTTTTTTTAGGCGATGTGTTATAGAAGACTCAATAATTAAGAGGACGGACCCACAATATTTTCATACTAGCTAACCTAAGTTTTAATACTCAAAGGTATTTTTAGACATTTTGCTATTTTTGATACTTAATTAGAAATTCATACAAAACAAACATCTACCGAAACTATTTCTACCCAGATTTTAATTAAACATTTGATTTGACTGCACGGTTGGTGCGGTGGCTGGGCAACCGGCTGCCGTACAACGTGTCGCGGGTTCGATTCCCGCACGGAACAACACTTTGTGTAATCCACAAATTGTTGTTTCGGGTCTGGGTGTCATTGTGTATGTGAACTTGTATGTTTGTAAACGCACCCACGACACAGGAGAAAATCCTAATGTGGGGCAAATTTATTATTAAAAAAAAAAGATCATACATAGTCTTAATTTGATCATAACGGGTAATCGAACCCGTGACATTCTGCCCACTAGTCCACAGTCAAAATGTACCTATGACTAATCTCACCTTAGCTTTTTCACAGCTCTCCTCATAAGAAGCCACCTTCTGCTTCAACTGTCTTATTTGCTCCTGAATATTTTCCGGGTTCGGATTCTGACTCGACAAAGAATGTCTAGAATCCTCCAATTCTTTCCTTAAACCGTCCAAAAACTTGTTATTACGGTCTATTTTCGCTTGGAGTTCATTATTCTTTTGTTTTAGTTTTAATATTTCATATTCGTCTTCTAGTTTTTCCGATATTTCTTTAGTTTGGTGTAGAGAGATGGCGATGGGATCGAGTTGGTTGACGTCCATTGCTTGTTGTGCCTCTGCGGCCTGTTTGAGTAGTTGTTGGCATTTCTGAGGTAAGCCGTCGATGGATATATTTAGTTTCGATAGGATCTCCGATGTGAGGGCCGCTGGAAATAAAATAAGATGTGAATTAGATATTTACGATTGGATGAAGACATGAGTACTATTTTGAAACTCTTTGGCTATTTGGCTAACAACTGATTAATATCACAACCCCACAGAAACCTGGAGTAAGATAATGCTCGCAATGTATTTGGCTTCTTTAAGGTTACAGGAGGCATGGTCTTTCAGCAAGATGTGATTTTATATTGAAATTCCAATCATACATTTGCAGAAAAACACTCACCACTTAAATTCTTTTATTACTTCTTTAAACTGTTTAGCAGTAATAGGTGCGCTTCAAAGAAAAAATAAATAAAAAGACAAAAATACTAACTAAACAATTTAATTTACTATATTATATATATTTTTTTTAATTTTTTATTTTAATATGGGAAATTTGACGAGGCTTTCAATTTTCTTTGCTACATTGAGCATTAATTCTTCTGATAATGGTGGGCCCATAAGTTGCAGTGACAAAGGTAGATTGTTCTTTGAGAGTGTTATTGGTATAGAAATAGCAGGTATACCGGCCATGTTAGCTGGCTGTGTACAATAGTCCTGGAATGCACACTGATCCCTATTGTGTTTCGCAACAAATTCATGGTACAAAGGTGCATCAGACAAAGTAGTAGGTGTCAACAACAAATCCACCCCACCATCTGGACTAAAAACTTTTTTAAAGTCATCCATTATCAACCTCCTTAGTTTGAGAGTCTTTATGAAATATTTTACATAGTTCCTTGTCAGTAAGAAGTAGTTGCCAGCCAGGATTCTTGATCGGACTACTTTGTTGAAGCCTTGATGCCTGGTTAATGCATAGAGCTCCTCTGTAGAACTGTTCACATTAGCTCTAAGGCCATATTCTATCCCATCATACCTAGACATGTTACTGGCAACTTCACACTGGTTCAAGATGGAGTAAACGGCTATTGAGGCTGAAGTGTACGGCAACGAAACTACTTCTAACTGTGCTTTTTGATGTTCCAGTAAATCTGCCACAAGACCCCATATATCTATCACCTCTCTGCTCATACCTTCACAGTGATATTCTTTAGGTATCCCTATCCTTACTTGTGATAAGTCAATATCTTTCAATGTTATTGGCTCAAATGGCTTTTTAATAGTAGTAGAATCATTTATATCAGGTCCAGCTACTACATTCAAAATTGTAGCGACATCTTCCACAGTGCGTGCCAATATACCTGGCACATCCATTGAGTTTACTAATGGTATTAAGCCATGTCTGGACACCAGTCCATAAGTAGGTTTTAGGCCCACAACACCACACAATGCCGCTGGATTTCTTGTGGATCCACCGGTATCTGAGCCGATTGCAGCTAAACAAGACCCAGATGCTACCGCAACAGCGCTGCCCCCAGAACTGCCACCTGAGATCCTCCACTTCTTCTTATCATACTGCCAAGGGTTACGAGTAGGTCCAAATATAGAATCTACTGTTCCTGAGCCCATCGCGAACTCGTCGAGGTTACATTTGCCTATCAAACAAGCGCCCGCACGTCTAAGTCTGGAGTACACTGTCGCATCATAACTCGGCACGAAGTTCTTCAGCATCTCCGAGGCACATGTTGTAGGTATGTTGCTGGTACAAAAGTTGTCCTTCATAGCAATAGGAATGCCGTCCAATACCTTCGGCTGTTTTGAGATGTAAAACCTCTTTTCACTCTCAATACTATGAGTTTCAGCAGTATCTTCAGTTACACACACGAATGCATTCAAGTCTCTGCTCTGTTTGGTTCGCTGCAAACTTAAATCGATGAAGCTGGTAGGTGTCAACATTTTCTCAGCATAAGCTTGGTGAACCATTTTTATTGTGTAACCCGTTAATTTATTCATGTTTGTAAAATTTTATTTAGTTTCTTTTACATAAAATACATATATTGAAGTGGCATAGGTTAACAACAAAAATTTTACAGCTGATCTGAGCACGGTAACAAAAACGAAAATATGCAAAGATTGTAGAAACGTCAATCTGAAACGCTCGTTTAATTTGGGCGGGATGTGCTAACGTATTATTATAAACTGTGACTTACCACTTGCAGCACATTCTTGTTTATCTTGCTGAATTAAACCTGAATATAGTTTATCGTGATCTTCATTATTTACTGAAACCGTCTTCATTTCGAATGTATTTGTTTTGAAATAAATGGAAATAATCACAACTACCAAATTCAAAAGTAAAATGTTTACTGATTTGTGATTGGTTAGTTTAGTTCTGTAGTTCCGCTTGTTAGTTGTCAACAGTGTCAACTTGACACAACGTTTTATTTTCCTTTGAGCATTTTTAAACGAAAAATTTAAAAAAGTTGTCAATATTGAATTCATATCCCTCATTTTTACACACAATTTTCTATGCGGATTATATACAAATAAATTCATACATTACATTACATTATGTACATTTTGTAATCAAAAACAAAACTGATTATGCAAAACTAGAGATGTGCGTTTTTTTTGTTAAACTATCAAAATGGATAAATACCCGAGTATTTAACATTTTCTACACAAGAATTGATACAAAAAATTGAATAGTTATCCAGTATTTATTTAGAACATTTATTTATTCGAAAAATTAACCATCTCTATTTGAAACTGAATATTAATAGAATGTTTATAGTATTATTTATTTTCATAATTATAATATTCTTTTTTTCCCCTCTTTGGCAAACGATATAATATTCTTATTCTCCCTGTTTAATTCATGACATCGATAATCATCGATACCAACAATCCAAGTCATGCGAATCGTGTTGTTTTGATGACAGTTCGGCATTGGGCATCCCTAAAATATTGAGTGCTTAGATCGCTGTGCTTGTCGTATTTCTTTTTCGTAGACGGTTTAAATAGTTAAGTTTCCACAAATAAGTATCAGTACAGCAATAATTTATTAGCTTAAACTTACATTTTAAATATTATTTAGTGTCGTAGTTAATAAATGTCATAAATATGGCGCATTTGCAATACATGCCCGGGGATCCGCGTCTTGTCGATCAACTCGTTTATGAATTAAAATCGAAGGGTATATTCGATCAGGTAAGTGAACTATTTAATTAATATTATCAAACCCTGCTCCTAATGATGCATGTAGGGCTGAAGTCGCCATTTTTCTCTGACCTTGTGTGTCCCTTGTCCCTTTCTTCTAACACATTACAACTAGGTTCCAATAACCCAATATTAATTCTCTTAAACAGCTTGTTAATACAAAAATAACATCCTAAAAGCTTCCTTCCTACAACATATTATCTAATTTAATTCATGAAAACTCTTAAAAGATAGGTAATATGCTGTATCTTGACTTATACCATTCAATTGAAAATAAAAATGGTTGATTTTGATTATATTGAAGAACTAACCAGTTTCAATATTGAATGATTTTTATGTTTAGATAATACATAAAACAAATAAATATGAATTACTTACAACAATTGCTTTAGGTATTTTACTGAAATGCAATTTTATCAAAAGACAGGATATGTCCTATGCATGCTGTGAAAAAAAAACAAAGCAAGTTCTAAATTGAAACCTATTAATTACTATTTATTCTTGTATTACTAAAATTAATATCTAGATACTAAGTTGAATCATAATTATAACTATTGCAACTGCATCAATTTAATGTTAGGGCAACCTTTGAAAGTAACCGCGGAAACCATCTAATTAACCAAAATGTTCTTAAAAATTGCATTCTATTCAAAAATTATAATAAAATTATTTTCATATTTACTTTACACAAATATAACCATATAGCCCTAAAGAGTAGTAAATATTAATTGAAAATTCAATGATCATTTTATAAATAACCTTACTTTTGTAGTAGTCAGGAGCTTTACAATTTTAAATACAAAAAACTGTATACCATAAAACAATAACTACTCTATAGTACCTACAGTAGCTTTAACCATAATTATGCAAGTATGAACTAGTAATCTATTACTGCTATATATCATGATCAAAACAATTTGTTCTTCTTAAGATTGATATTTAAGTAAGTAGCTCGGATTGTTTTTCATTTAAACATGCATTTTTAGTTACTGCAATGACTTTATAATAAGTCATTAAAATAAGAGTTATGTGCATGTAAAAACATGATAAAAATTGTAATTGCTGCTTATGTTCAACAATGGTACTTTTTTTGATGCATGACGTTGCTACACAACATAATTATTAAACTGTCAAACACCAAGCGGTCACCGGTGACCGCAACCTATTATTCTTTAATTGTGTCTATAAATACGGTACTTGACGAGTTAAAGCCAGATGGCGCTGTTACAGTAAACACCCGAAGTGTATTACTCTGATTTATTATTGACTTTAAAATTATAAAACCTATAAAAAAGTATAATAAATTATGTCCAATAAGTCCGTCATGGTGTGATTAGTGTGCGCAAACGTTATCCAAATAAACTAAGTGATATATTTCGAATAAGTTAAGACAATTAAGTGAAGTGACGAAACAAATTATAACGTAAATAAACATTAAATAATACTATGACAAACAATTGTTTATATGAAATATGCAAAATAAACCAAGTGCCAAGTGTGTATTAATCAGAAAGCCAAAAATGAGAAATTAAAATTTTAATCGGAGGTGTGTGAAAAATCTTAATAAATTATTAACGGCCTTTTAACCATTTGAATAATATTCTCATAAACACTTACAAATTTCATATAAACTTGTAATGTTCGTGTAGCCGTAATAACACAGAGTCCGACTTCTAAGTCGATGGTCGCTGGTTCGGACCCCACTAGCTGCGAAACTTTTTGTGATTCATAAAATCTTAAATTTAAATAAAATGAATTTCTTTGGGAACATCACACAACGTCGTAACCGTAATGTCTCCGAAACAAAAAGTGAAGACTTGAATTTAACAAATAATGAACTAGATGGCACCACTAGTAACAGTCTGCCAAACATATCAGATGACGAAGACTCCGAAGAAATTCTTCAACTAAAAAACAAAGTCAAAGAATTGACACTGCAACTAGAGACTGCACACCATGAAGTTGAATCTCTAAGTATAGATAACACAAATCTCAAAAAAACCATCGAAAACTTAACAAAGAAGGAAAACATCTACAAAAAATTTACTACTGACATTGTAAATAACACTCCAAAAAAGAAAAAGACCTCGCAACCCGTTCCGACAATAGATTTATGTATAACCCCTGAATCAACTAGGGGAGGTATAAAGCTTACTCCAGAAATGGCTTATAAAACAACTGCGGAAGTCATACCCCAGGTGGTAAACAAAAGTACTCAATGCGACTCTAATGAATTTAAACATTCATTGTGTAAGGATATAAGACAGCAAAAAATAAACGACACACAACTCCTAAAGAAAAAACCAATAAAAAGCAAACTAAGTATACTAAGCACTAACAACAGAAATGGACTTTGCAACATTATTGAAGATTTATTTCCAACTTTTTATGAATTTTGTCATTATTCATATCCAAATTGTGGTATTAATCAACTCCTGAGTGGCATAAAAGAGAAGGTTAAACACTTTGGTAAAACAGATTATTGTGTCATCTTAATAGGAGAAAGAGACTTCTTGAGAACTGAAAACTATCACGATACAGTGTACAATATTAGAGATACCATCGAGAAACTAAGCCACACTAATATAATTATATGTCTCCCAACCTACAGGCAATGTGGAGAAAACACAACAATATACAACTGTCGGGTTGAGCTGTTCAATAATCTTTTATATCTCCATAACACAACATATCAGTATGCTTATTTGCTGGACTCAAACGCTGACTTATGTTATGATAGTACAATGTTTTCCGGTCGTCGAGGTCTCCTAAATGACACAGGCATGAAAAACGTAATTGCGAATCTTAAACAGACTATTTGTGATATACAGATGGAGAATAATAGTACGCCAACGCAGTCGATGCATCTGAAGATATATCGAATCAATTTTTTCTATGATCATTTGTCAATAATGCATCAAAACATCGCAGGACTAATAAATAAGGCAGACCAATTACTTTTGCATCTAATTGAATTTCAAAACCGCATAGACGTGGTTTGCGTTACTGAACATTTCATGGAAGCTGGATATGAAGATTTTCTCACTATACCTAATTATAAACTGGCAACTAGCTTCTCGAGGGATACAAGAAGAGGAGGAGCGTGCATATTAATAAAAAACGACCTTCAATATAAAGAGCTGGACGACATCAGGAAACTTTCAGTTCAGGGAGCATTCGAGTGCTGCGCAATCGAATTAACACAACACAACATTATTATTGTATGCATCTACAGAATACCTAAATTAAAAAATCTTGATACCTTTTACTCTAAATTGGATATTCTATTGCCTAGGATTTGTTATAAAGCGCGCAAAAATGTTGTTATATGTGGTGACTTTAACATCAATACTTTAAAGAAAAATAGTATATCTCTTGAGTTTATTAATTATCTATTAAGCTATAATTTGGAACTACAAATTGATCAGCCCACTAGGCTACAAAGCAATACGTGTATAGACAATTTTGCGCACAACTTCATTCAAAAATGTACTCATAATATAGTGGATCTTAACATGTCGGATCACACCGCTCAAGTTTTAAAGATCCCTGTAAAAAAGACTTGTACACTGGACAGTTGGAATATAACAGCGCGTGATTACAGCTACGATAACCTTGTGAAATTTAGATCAAGTTTATACCCTTTGTCGTTTTGTGAAATCTATGAAGCAGATGATCCTAATATAGCGTATGATGCCTTTATAGAAATATTCCGACTGTTTTATGACTTGTGTTTTCCCGTAATTAACAAAAAAATTAAGTTAAAAAGGAAACCAAACTGGTTAACACCGGGCATAAAGCGTTGCAGCCGAAATAAAAGACAACTTCTTTGGCAACTAAGAGCAAAACCAAATTACAATAACTTAACGAAACTTAAAAGTTACACGCAAAGATTAAAGAAAATAATAAAACTAACACAAAAGGCAAGAAATAACCATAAGATAATGACCTCAACCAATAAATCCAAAGACACATGGAGGATCATTAATGAAAATAAATACTGCTCTCCCTATGAACACATAGCGGAAATACGAAGGAACGGGGATATAATAACCGACCCTAGTGATATCGCTAACGCATTTAACAATCACTTTGTGGAACAAGCAGAATTACTTTCGAAGGTCTCAAAATCTGCAAACTATGAAATCCCGCATACATGTTGCAAATCAATGTTCTTGGCTCCGACTACACCTGATGAAATACGTAGGCTAATAGACAATCTAAAAAATAAAGTTAGTGTAGGATATGATGACATCTCGACAAAGGGATTAAAATTTGTTTCCGATATAATATCTGGGCCCATTTGCCACATAATTAATGTTAGTATCTCATCTGGAATCTATCCTGATAAACTCAAACCAACTATAATTAAACCTCTATTTAAGAAAAATGATAAAAATGATATAAATAATTATAGACCTATTGCCCTAATACCAATGATATCAAAAATATTTGAGAAAGCGATTCATCACCGTATAGATTCTTTTTTTACAAAACATAATTTATTAGTACAAGAACAAAAGGGTTTTAGAAAGAATACATCAATAAACATGGCTATCTACGATTTCCTTAACATCTTAATCACAAATATTGACAACAGAATCCCAATTAGTGCTATATTTATGGACATGACGAAAGCTTTTGACTTAGTTGATCATAATATTTTACTACAGAAACTAAATGCTTATGGAATAAGGGGCAAAGCACTTTCACTTATACAATCATATCTTGACAATAGAACGCAGTGTACGGAAATTAAACGAGTCTCAAAAAAAGGTAAAAAGGAACTTAAATATATGTCTAAAACACGTAAAGTCACTTATGGCGTGCCACAGGGTAGCGTACTGGGCCCGCTGTTATTTTTGGTTTACATAAATGACTTTCCAAAACACGTCACTTTTCCTATGGTTCTTTTTGCTGATGACAGCACAATACTTGTTGAACAGAATAAAAATAGAAATTATGAACGTGACATTAAAGATTCTTTGCAACAATCAATTAATTGGCTTGATCAAAATAATTTACAATTAAATGTAAATAAGACTAAAATTATCCAATTTAGACAAAGAACAACTACTCCTGACATAAATATATTTTTTGACGATAAAAGAATTGAAGAAGTAGAGCATACAAGATTTCTGGGACTAACTATTGACTGTAAACTGACCTGGAAAGAACATGCATCAATTCTTATAAAAAAATTAAGTCGCTTTGCCTTTGCTCTATACAAACTCAAGAAAATAGTTAACCAGGCAGCAGTTGTTGCTGCATACTATGGTTATGTTGAATCCACATTAAGATATGGTGTAATTTTTTGGGGAAATTCCTCCGAGAAATGTACTATTTTTAAAGCACAGAAAAGGTGCATTAGGTCGATGTGTAGCTTGAAAGTAACGGACAGTTGTGAACCTCATTTTAAATCTCTTAGAATACTAACTTTACCCTGCCTTTACATATACGAAACTGCACTGTTCGTCAGAAAAAATAGTACTTTGTTTAAAAAAGCCTCTGAGGACCGTCATAGATCGACAAGATCAGAACGTCGACACGAATTATGTCTGAGAGCCTCAAAAACAGCCCTTAAGCATAAAAGTATCCTTTGCATGGCACCCAAAATATATATAAAATCCCAAATACTATCAAGAATCTGAATTTAACACAATTTAAACGGAAACTTAACAATTTTCTAATTGATAAATGCTATTTTGCCATTGACGATTTCTTTCATGACAAAATGTAATAAACTGACAACTGTGTGTATAATTAATTATGAAAACTTGGGTAACTTATTGTTTATTTAATGCTTGTATTAATTTATTTTGTTGCAAAATTTTTGACATTTTTGCTATAGATTGTTTATTTAATGCCTAATTGCCTGTTATAATTTATATTGTGACTAATTTTTGACATTTTATTGATTATTTATGTTAAAATTTTGAATGTGATGATTATTTTTATACTTATTAAATAGTGTATGCCTAATGGGCAGCTTTTTGCGCTACTATAATAATAATTTTAAGACCTTTTGTATCACCAAAAAGCACACAAATAAATACTTTGACTTTGACTTTGACTTTGACTTTTAAAATCCAATGCAACAATAAAGTGATCCAGCTTAACATTGGTTAAGTTTTCTTTTTATACTTGATAGGTAGATATTTAGTCACCATCTCGCCTGGTGGTAAGCGATGATGTGGCTGATGATTGAGTACCCCTACCTATGAGCAACCTGTTCACCCACACTACCAAGTTATATTTGTCGGAAAACATTTACTTCTTGGAATTTAACCTGCATTTGAATACATAAATTGTTTTTGTAATGATAATTTTCTTGTTTGCCATTTCTTAGCCAAAAACGTAGATAACTAGATAATACTTATGTATCAACAGCTCTGTAGCATACTTTAATAATTCTATTTTTAACTGTATTTGAAATGTTTTATTGTTGCTGTTTAAAACCAATTTTTACTGAATTATTGTGATAAGTTCTTTTATCAATTTCATTATTACAATGTTGTATGTATTGCAAAACATTGTTCAGTTATATGCAATTATCAATTTTGTGCTTGGTGAAAGTACTTTTAAATATTATTTATATTTAAACTATAGATAAAATTATTGATATACTATTTAATTATGACTAAAACTGGTCACCATGGAGTTAAATTGTCTTTCTTCTTAATATTCAGTAATGGTTCTGACTGTTTCATTAAACTCTTAGATAAAATTTCGTAATAACTATATCTATCTATCTAAAAACATCCAACTAATAAGAAATAACCTTATTTCCAGTTCCGTAAGGACTGCATAGCTGATGTGGACACTCGCCCAGCGTACCAGAACTTGAGGCAGCGTGTTGAGAACTCTGTGTCCTCATTCCTGTCCCGGCAGTGCTGGAAACCAGACCTCAACAAGAATCAGCTTCGGGAGAAACTTAGAAAACATATCTTGGAGTAAGTTATTGTTATATTGAAGTTGTAGACTTGTTTGCTATTGCTCTTCTATGTTTCTGATGTTTGAAAATGTAATTGATATGACTTTAATTTTGATAACAGACATGGATATTGTTATGAGTAATCATGTTGACTTGTTTTGTGACTAAACTTAAATTGATTAAAATAAATGTTAATAATCCAAGTAAATATGAACCTATTGTACATTAGTATAATGAATCTGACTGCGAAATGAGAAGATTGACTAAATTAAAAAAAATGATTTTAAAGTACAACATAAAAGTCAAATCGTTATCGTTCTTTTAGGAATGGATGGAGATTTTTTATAAGAAAATACATTAATATTTTAACTAAAAGCGTACCCTTTTCATTACAGTGGTAACTACCTAGAACAGGGTGTAGAAAGGATCGTCGATCAGGTGGTAAACCCAAAAGTGGCGTCAGTATTCATACCACAAGTAGAAGACCTAGTATACAACTACTTAGGTGTACCTAGAAAGAAAACAAGTGCAGAAACATCAAACGGGAAATTGGGTGCAGATGATCTCCTACCGACAGACTTGGAAGCTGTCAGCCCTGGATCAGTCAAAAGCAATGATGACAAATTTGAAGATATGGACAGAGACCTTGAAGAGAATAAGATGGAAATAGACAATGTAAAGGATGAAGACAAACCTTCAGTTTCAGAAATTGAAAAACCCAAAGTTGAAGACACACAAAACAATGTCAATGAACTCACAAATGATTCTGATATGGACCTAGATAAGTCACATGATGATATAAAGCTAGAAAATATTCCGCCTCCTGACAATAGTCCGCCGAAGGTAGAAAATGAAAATATACAACTTGAGAAAATTGAACTTCCTAAAGAACCGAACACACTTTTGGAAGCACCTCACCCTGATGAAATACCGCTTCCAAAAGATGATAAGGATCACTTCTTCAAACCTGTAGGTGTTAATAGTGATGATGATTCAAGCAGCGATTCGTCCCTGCGAAGGAACATGTCTCCATTAACTCCAATCAGAAATTACAATAACGAAAATTCTTGTGATGCCCAGCAGGCATTCGAGAATGATTCAGATAGCAAAAGTAACGATGTTAAAAAGGAACCTAGTTCGTTTAGGTTCGCCATAGAAGCTAAATCTCCAGAACAAAATAGTTTGGAAGCAAAACCAGAGAAGAAAGATAGTGAGCAAGCAAACTTGGCTTATCAGTTCAACAATCAAGTGAATATTAACACGACACACACCTTCAACACGCCGGTGTATGACGACAGTTCAAACAGCAACAACTTACAAATAGATTATGAAAGTGATGTTAACAGCAAAAATAACGCAGAGAAAGTACCTGAAGCTGACCAGAACTCAGAAGACAAAAGAGATAAAAAGAGTGACGATAGAAAAAGTAGTCATAAGAGCTCCCACAGATCCAGGGATTCACACAGACATTCAAGTAGCAAAGACAAGAGTAGGTCAGAATCTAAACAATCATCGTCTAGAGATAGTAGCAGGCATGACAAGAAACCTAAAGACGATCACAGCAAATCTAAATCCAGTCACAAGGAGAGAGAGAAGTCGAGAGACAGATCTGACAAGAAAGATAGTAGGGACTCTTCTAAACATAGAAGTTCTACACACAAAAGTAGCTCTAGCCACAAAGACTCGAAATCTCACCGGAGCTCAAGTTCGAGCCAGAAACACTCAAGCGACAAAAAATCGTCCGATGACAAAAAGTCTTCTGATGATAAAAAATCGGATGAAAAGAAATCTTCATCTTCCTCAACTCATAAATCCGAAAGGAGTTCTGAGAAAAGTTCTGATAGGAGTTCTAGGGACAAAAGAGATTCCAAATCTAGCTCCCATCGGTCAGACAAAGATAAGAAGAGTAGTAGCAAGAGCAAACACGATGAGAAAGATAAGAAAAAGGAAAAGAAAGATATTGACGACCATTATAGTGTCTCAGGTAGAGGCAACCACTCGAGGCGATCAACGGACAGAGATTCAAATGACGGCAGCTCATCTTCCAAAGGATCTCAGAACCAATCTGGTTCAAAAACTGCAGAAAGTAAGAAAGAAACCAAGAGCTCTAGCTCCAAATCAGACAACACTTCAACTAGCGGAGAATCAAACAGCCCCAGTGATAAAGAACATGTTATAACTACCGCCAGTGACGTTAAAAATAACCAAAAACCCATCAGAGTTGAAAATCATTTAGAGAACCCTATCACAAGCCCCCCAAGATTACCTTTTGTACCAGATGTCACGTTAAAAAAGCCAAAATTCGCAGCCAACCTGGAAGAAGCTAAACGGATGATGAAAATGAGGAAGTTTCTAGACGAAGAACAGAAGAGAATGAATCAAGAGGCCGCGTTACTTCTTGAATTTCAGGCGAATGTAAGGCCTAGTTTGAGTCAAGTGTATTCTAGCATTCCTGGACCTGAGTTAGAATTCGCGTGCGTGGGCAGTGAAGTAAATAGTATTGTGCAAACTGAAATAAGCAAAACTGAACCTGTTGTAGAACCTGCAGAGCCTGAACAGCTTATAGAAGCGATGGAAACTGTAGACACTATAGAGCCTACGGTTACAGAACATGAGACCGACGTCGCAGAAATAAATACCGAAGAAGACAAAAATAAAGTTGCCTGTGAAATCATTGATCTCGAAAACACGCAGTCAAATGACACGGAAATATTTGATGAAACCGAAACAAAGTCAGCTGCAGACAAAAATCAGACTTACAATGAAAACAAACCGTTTTCTCAGCTCATGGAAGAAATATCAGAATACAGTAAAGCTTCAGAGAAAAGCAAGAAAGACGCGTTAGACAATTTAGTTGAAGATGAAAATAAGAAGAGGACAGAATTCTTCGAAGTCACTATTATAACGGAAGAATTATCGGAAACTGATGAACCAGAAAATACCTTTACAGCGGATTCAGAGCCAGAAACAGAAGTTAAAGAAGAACCTACAATATCAGAGGAAACATCGAAGGAGACTGAATCTCCAAGGTCACCTAAACCAGCAATACTTCAAACAGCTACACCGGATGAGGAAACTTTACAATACTTTGCTGAACAAGAAAAATTCGACGCAGAATTAAAGAGACATCAATACAGCGAATTCTTAAAAGCATACATGGAAAGAAACGTGGTTTCCAACAAAATCCACATCATAAACTGCGATTCATATGAAGAGAATATAATAAAAGAGGTATGCGCGAGCTTTGGAAACTTTGATGTCATAAATTACTACAAAAATGGGCATTTCAAATTGCAGAATACAGTTAAAAATGTAATCAAAAACGTGAACTTGGCTTCAGAGATATCGTTACCTATAGACAACACATATGATTCTAAGTCGCCTACCCCTGTCTTTAGTCCGTCAAAATCGGAGTGTTCCTTCGAACTGTCCAGTGATTATGATGCTAAATTAGAAGAGATGGTGAACAAGACGTCTCGGCAAGAAGTCATGGAGATTATACTTGGTAGCGTTATAAGTCAGGATGAGAATCCTTCGATAGACTATTGTATGGAGTCTAACATTGATAATGAGTTGCACCTAAAAAGGAAATTGGAGGCCGAACCTACTGAGAACAACAACAGGCAGGTTTTGAAGAAGATGAGAAAAATGAGTGACTCCGACCAGATCTCATCGACAACAGAAGGTAACAATAATTTTTACTATAATATTATTATTATCATGCATTTGCAAATGTATTCCTTCATTTTTATTGTGTTTTCCTATCTTATTTCTTTCTCTGACTAAAAGTATTATTGGGTTTTTCAGTAACAATTCTCATTGCACAAAATCTCGTTTCGTTTCTTGTAGGATTGAATGGTTAACATGGCTGGCGAAACATAGTTCATAACAAAACAGTCTATATGCGCCTTATATTCGATATTCTAGGTCTATATTTAGGTACAATATTACACAAAAGATATGAGTAATATTCTAGTTGAATTATTATTCATTATAGAAAGAAATGTCTAGCATATCAAACGGTATTTTTATAAAATCATAAAATCCAGACCACATAAAATCGTAAAAAGTATAAATTGTTTTACGATGAACCCTAATCTGGAAACATACCTTCGCTTGCGATTTAAAAAAAACAGTGAAAAGAGGTTTTAAACAATAATTTTCAGAAAGCGAAGAGGTTTCAAACAACAATAGGGTACCACCAACGAGGTCTAAGTACTTGGGTAGGGCGCGGCGGGTTGGTTTGTCGAGGCCCAGGAGAAATACTAATAGTGAGTACATGTTTCTATTACAGTTCCCAAAATAGGCCTTATTGTTGGGTTGTTACAGACTATATTTGAAGGTTATTTGGGTTTTGGTCAGATACTTTAAAACTCTAAAAGATCTGATTCAAAAAACAATGAAAATGTATATGGTTAATTCATTCATAGTTCCTCGTAGTATGGTTATATTTTTCATTGACGTACTAATATCTTTATTTTCTTGTATAATCACATTCATTCGTAACTAACACATCCATTGCACATCATCTTCATTCTTTTAATTCTTTTTTTTTCTAATTTGCATTTTTGGTATTTTTATGACGAAACAACAGTAGCCTTGTATTAAAACGAAGATTAAGTGAGCATAATAAATGCATGATAAATTGCGTTCCTTATTCAATACAAGGCCAAGTGACTGCTCAATATAAATCAAGAGTCATCAACCTTTTGTTTGCAATTCTATTCTATTATATTATAAAAAATAATAATAATAATGGAAATACATACACATTCATTGTTTAAACAGAAAAGTACGCACAAGAAAGTACTACAAATTGACAAATTACTTTAATACAATTTCGACTTTTGTTACAAAACGCTAAAGTTGAAAATCATATGGGTCGAGCATTCTGGTCGCCTGGTGGCAAGCAATTAGCGCAGGTCATGGACATTCGCAATACTTGAGGAGTCGGTCAAATGCTGTCAGCCTTCTATTACGGTGGGGGGAGGTGTTTGGCCTCCTGTGAACTTCATAATACATTGTAATGTATATTCATTGTCCTACAGGAATTGGCAGTCGGTAACCACAAAGCGCCCCCTTCGCCCCCTACTGCATACCTACTTCTGTAACTTCCATCACTTTAATTTGGGAACCATAACTTGTAGTTGTATCAACTATATGATCGTCTATTAATAAAAAAGTATCTTCAAGCAACATCTGCCACCTGCCTCGAGGTTGCCTTCCTGGGTTGGGCAAAATGTTATTGAGATTTCGGTTATTCGAAAATGTCTCAGTAATAGTACGGATAATTGATCCTCCTATTACTTGGGACTCATAACATATAAAAAGTGAGTGTTACATTGTATATCTGTTCCTCTACCCTTGGGGAATTAAAAGACCTTACGATATACTTGTTCAAACAACAATATCTTTAAAAATGACATAATTATTTTTACAGATTTGCCAAACAGTCCATCAAGTGACAAATCAGTGGAGAACTACGAACAGAATACGCAAGCAACTCCACAGACTCCAAATGGGAAACTCAAGTCCGTCACACGAACGAAAGTCCAAAGGTACGATACCTCCGACCTGTACAAGCCTAAACTCCATTATTTGTCCAGAAGGAATAACATTACTTAAAAAAGTATTTGTTTTACTGTCTATCTCTATCCTAAACTGAAATGTGACCACTTACTTACCGCGTCGCTAATATATGCTATCTCAATTAAAAATCTCAACTTTTAAACAGAAGTTCAATAGAAATTATGCCAAAAATCAAAGTCAATCCATTAATTTTGGGTAGGAATCTGTTAATAATTTTGGTCGTTACTCGTATACATTTTTATTTAACTATGATGCACACTATCTTTGAATGATTTTATATTTGAAATTTAGCACAGATTCGATTGAGTAAAATTTTACACGAGACATCTGTCATCTGTTCTCCTCGACATGCAAAGAGTAATTCAACATTCTTGGTTAGATCAAATTCGTATTCTGTCATTACTTAACTACTGCATAACTATACGTAATGTGGTTAGTATAGACTATCTACTAAGACCAGGGCCGTCTTAGACTACGCTGGAACACACAATTAGGAATGTTTCTTTTTTTTAAACGTTGCACCACAATAGGATTTTCTCCTATATCGTGGGTGCATTTACAAACATACAAGTTCACATTCACAAGGCACCCAGACCCGAAACAACAATTTGTGGAACCGAAAAAGATTTGAACCGCTTTCGAATCCGCTACACGTTGCCGGGCAGCCAATTACCCCGCAACTTGTAGCCTATGTGTGTCTGTTGTAGAAATTGTCGTACCTTCGGGGCCGCCTGAAGATGGGGCCCTTGGACACGGGCCCCGAGTGCCCTTATGGTAAAGACGGTACTGTCCTTAGGCAGGCCCTTACCCAAGATGTGTCTTAACACATGTGTCTTAGGTATTCAATTCAGTTTCCCTAAATATCAATATTCTCAAAAAGTAAGTAAGGAGGTCTATTTTTAGCCAAGGTAGAGGATGACGGTAAGGTTGGTATAATTTTAAAGCCATTATCTTTCCGAGACATGCAATGACATACCCGTATTGCAAAATTTGTGATGTTTTTGTATAAAATATATTTTTATTTCATTTATAAAGCTTCACGCATAATCTATTAAAACTATTTGTTATGTTACAAAAATTTTATTCTCAAGTAGCGTAATTTTGACCCGAAAACTAATGACTTCTGGGGATAAAATCAAACGTTTAACGATTGTGTGTGTTGTGAGAGTAGAATGTTGCTGATAGCCTGTAATAAATAGATGGCTAATATTTACAAAACATCATGTTTATATTAACTAAAAGAGTATTATTCAGTTGTGCACTGCATTAGTAAATTACTAAAACTTAAGAACCATTTTTCGTATCATTTTATTCTGTGAATAAAAGCATGATGTTCTGTAAGTATTTCTACAAGAATGGAGCCTAAAAATGATTGGAATTAATTATTAACATTGATAGTTTTGTATTCCTTATTTGTCTATAACTTCTAAAATGATGATGCATCAATTATCTCAATAATCCTCGTATCAACAACAATCATTGTTTGCATGTATATTTAAAACTTTATGGCAATTGATTGCATTATCAATTCAATCAGTTATGCAGAAATCTTGGATGGATTTAAGAAAATACTGGTTGAAAAATTTGATAATATTAATACCACATGGATTTAAAAATCTAATCTTATCTGGTATAAGAATGTTTTGATGGATAAAAATACTTAAATATAGATTTAAATTGAAGTCTTGAACCTGTCGGGTCCTTTCAACATGTCGTTCAGTATTTACCAGTCTTTTATATGTTTCTGCGATTAATTGTCCAAATTATATATTTAAAAAATTTGAAAATTTCTTATTAGATTTTCAACCTTATAACAAAACGATTAAAGATGACATTAAATGAATTTGATGAATAGAAAAAAATAAACAATAATATTGTTGATCCTTGCCACCATTAGGTGTAACAGAGAATTATGACTTTATCATGTCATTCAGACAAATGAATGCGCAAAAAGAAAAAGTAGCGCAATGAAAGCCAGACATCACATTGGTGTATTTATTGGTCTAAACATTTGTGTTATTTCTGCTCATACAAATTAGATCCTAATCGTATCAATGTAGAGATCAATTTGTATTGGCGTTACAACAATGTTAGACAAGTGTGGGTGTATTGGTCTAAGGCTGGGTACATACTTACTGGCGTGGTTAGACACTTGCTCAGCCTAAAATATGAGGGCACAATTCCATCATAAAGTACGAGTTGATGTCGTACGGTTGTTTATAAACACATTTAGTATGGGATTCCGCCCAGTAGGCAGTCGGATTCTGACCAAACAGTGAGTGTAACACAAGCCTTATAAATGTAGTATTAAAAAGAAATATTTTATGAAAGATTTAATTATCGTAATTGATTCGTTATTTTATGACTTAGATTTTTCTTGGCTATTGCATTGTATTGTATGGAAAAGCTTAGATGTTGTGTCTATTAAATTATTTATCTCAGGGCTGGCTCTCTTTTGATTGTGATCTTATTTTCATTAGTAAAATGTTAGTGTGTACATCATTTCTCCTCTACTTTCATCATTTCGTAGTTTAAGCAGACTTATACATAATTTAACTCTAAAAAGTCGAGCCTTTCCCTGTATTTTGTCATCGTTTTATAGTTTCCCATACATTTGTGTTGATTCCGCCAGAATAAAATATTTACTTATAATAAAGATCGTAATTTGTAAAATAATATCTAGTTTACAAAATCAATGTATGATGCACTTGAGCATTCTCAAATTGTGGCACATTTTGAACTTGTTGACAAATTACTAACTATTGTCTAATGTGTCAGATAGTTGAAACTTGTTGTATTAAGCTGTGCATGGAGTAATGAACAAATGGAGTACTCAAGTCTATAAAAATATTACTCATTCCCGTGATAATTTATCGTTGTGACAATAGTGGTAAGAAACTATAAATTTTATGAGTACTTCATTTGTTTTTTCATTAAGTCTTTGTTATATTTTTTCTGTTGTTTAGTGAAAGGATGGAAGGAACGCCGTAACTCGAAAACCAACTTAAATTTTTAAGACTTTCATAAGTTTTGAGAAATTATAATAATTAATGTCGTTACACATACCTGTCATGGAAATCCAATAATGAATAATGATGAAATATTTACAATTTAAGATTCGGTTGGTTTCTAGAAAACTCAGACATCCTTCCGAACCTAAAATCATGTTTTCTTTAAATTGAATTGTTGATAATTACTGTGTGATAAATTCTAGAATGTTTGAAGATTTTTTATTAATATTTATTTAAATAGTAAAGTATATAGTATATTTAATATATATCCTATTATATTATTATAAAGTTTTAATAGAGAAATGATTACGAAATGTGCAATTTACTGCAGAAGTAAGGAAACTAAATGACTGATGTTGCAAAGAAAATGGGGATTTAGAATAATCATTTTAATAAGTCATAAGAATTAATAATTTCATGAATAATTTGTATTATTGCTAGCTTAGTAGAACTTTTGTTGAATACGAAACTGGCTATAATATAAACTACGATAATGATGCAATAAAAACAGTATAGCGGAAAAATATATAGAATAATGTAGAATTTTAAATCCTTCTTTTGTAGTATCGTGTACATGACGTTTTAAAGAAAAAAGCTTTGTAAATAAATCAGTACAAACATATATCACTTGTTGAAATAGTTTATAACAGTACAGAGTAGATAATAGACAGCATCACATACCTAGACACAACGATAAAAGATGATATATTTGATAAGATACAAAATAACACTTGTAACTGGACCCTCTGGTTATTCTCTACTCTGTAGCACACTTCAGCTACTGCTACTACATAATTATTCACCATTTTTGCAGATATTTTAAACGCATACTCATATAAAACAGTAACCCAATCTATTTAGAAAAATATATGTGACAGTTAAAATTATTTATTCAGTCTTTTTCAATTTTAGTTACACACAAAATAGCGGGTCTATTATCATCATCAGTAATGGCGTTTCCCGCCAATTTGTTTGCATAGATAATAAATATTATGTAAATATTATGAGTTCGAATTTTTGTTAGAACCTTCTTTGTGTAAATTTAATTTAAGTTTTGAAGTGTAATAAGTTCGATATTCTGTATGGTAAGATATTTGCGGCGATTGTTTGTCGCAACTTTATGATTTGTTGTTATAATTATAATAAAATATAATTTATTCCCATTCTAAAAATTTTTTGTTTCATTTTTCTTAAGTTATTCATGTGATAACTTTTGAAGATAATTCCAAACATATGTTTTTATAATGTAATCAGTGACACATAGTCACATTCTATACTCAAAATTGATTTTGATTACGCAATCTTGAGTAACATTCACTTGAGACGACATTAATGGTCCCTTATCGTTGAATGTCAAATCATAACCTCAGGTCATTATTAGCAGCTAGTGATAAGCTGGTCTACATTATTCAAGGTGATTATCATGACTGTGACCCGGAAATACATAGGACTTGTTTGCATAGTCACGCATTCACATATGTTCATGTGCATCTAGCCATCTATGCTAGCATTTAAAGGAATAACAATTATAATTCATACGCCTTTTAAAATCTTCCAAGCAAATACAGAAACGTTTCGTCGTAGCTCTACTAACATGCCAATCATAATACAATGGCTTTTCATTCATTCATAAGTCGATATCGTACTGGAACCACGTGACGTAAAGGGACTCAATTGGGTACGCGATCCTATTATGTAGCGTAGGTCATGGAAGGTTACCTAATGTAAACTAATGTCTCGGTCATTGCCTCGCAGTCCATTGACATCGAGCTTGTAGCATTATTACCTACGGGAGTAAGATTTTCGCGGGCAAATTCTTCATATAAACTGTCATGGCGCCATTTTTTTATGAGATGCCGTAAATGAGCACACGTATCACCTGATGGTAAGCAATCGGCGTCGCCCATGGACACCCCGAACACCGGAGGCGTTACAAGTGCGTTACCGGCCTTTTGGGATGAGGAATTTGAGAATTGTTGGGGATTCAGGAATTGAGGAGGGGGAGAGGATATAATTCTCTGGGGGTGGTGGAGGGAGTGGCCTTTGGTAACTTCACTCACATGACGAAACAACGTAAGTATTGTTTAACGTCGATTTTCTGTGA